ACTCACACAAATTTTACCAGATAAGCCTAAAACCACGGATACAGCTGTGTTTTCTTCCAAAGCACTTTTTAAATCTTACATAAAATTTTGCTTAAGTGCTAATGATTAGAACTCAAAAAAACATGAACAGGTGGACTTCATTAAGTTGAAATGAGGAACTTGCAATAATTAAGAGTTTGTTGAGTCCAACAGTATGAAAATGTTTGCATGAGCCTCATTTTTAAAACTTGTTCATACCATCGACAAAAACAATTTATTTCTCAACCATTTGAAATACATTTGTATATTTTTGTCATTGTATGTATTACTAAAATTTGCAAGAGTAGAAATATGACATCACAATGCAGGTAAGGGTTACATGTCCCATAATACTCACTGTAACACTGCTCACAGACTTTGTTGAGGACACTGAGAAACTCTGGTGTTACTGGGGGCAAGGGGTCAAGCTGGACTTTCTTGAAATCTTCTGGACAATCTTTCTTCAAATGTCCATCACGTTTGCACAAGCTGCACACGACCATGTGGGACTATGTGATATTGAAAGGAGTTACACATATAGTTTTCCTCACTTACAACCTAAATCTTTACCATACAACTTTAAAATTTTATGTGTTCTTTGTTTAATCAAATTACACAATTGCAAATGCTGCCAGTAACTGATGACAAGTGAAGGCAAACTTACCTTTCCTCTGGTGAAAGCTTGCTTGGTGAACTCATAAGATGGTCTGCTTTGTTTTTCATTTTTATTTTCTGGTGTTTCATCTTTAATTTGAGAAACACTGACAGGTGCCAAATCCACTTCCTCCTCCTCTTCCTCATCCATTGAACCAGGTGTGTCCAAATCTGGACCCTCCTCATCGGACAAAAGCTCCTCCCCTGAGATCTCGTCCACTAGGAAAATCTCTTCATCCTCTATGGTGAAGCTGTCCAGGTGGTCTCTGTTATGCATGTCGACATCAATATTTATGTCATCATCCTGCTCGTCTTCATCATCCTCATCCTCCGAAAGGCTGCTTTTGCCCAAGTCCAATTTTTCTTTTTCCCGCTCTTCATCTGAGTCACTGAATTCTTCAATTTCCTCCTCTTCCTCAATAATGCAATCAGAGTCCTCAGGGCCATTTTCTACAGATTTAGATTGGCTCGTATATTTTGAATGAATGCTGAGATTACTGAAATCTGACAAGCACACACTCTCGTCATTCAAAGCCTTAGCATTGGCCCCTTGAACATATCCTCCCTTCAGTCCTCTTTTGTGATTAGCAGCTGGTGTATTGAGTGACTGTGCAAAGTACTTGTATGTGGTTTTGAGGCAGTGGAGGATGTACTCGTACATTTGCTGGCTGTTCACTGTGCGGGCCACATTTCTCTTCACGGCAAACGGGTCTGAAACAGAACCATTTGTAAACATTAGAACACATAAAAGAAGTCTCTTCATCACAGTGGTTCATAAACGCACCTTAGCCACTGCAACTGGACACAAACAACCAGGTTTGGGGAGGGGGAGGTGGGGGGTTAAATTGAATTAATAACTTCGAAAAGGGTGGGATAAGGGGTATACAATAGTTTGTTGATTATTTTGCACTGAGCTTTAAGCAAAATTACACTTTAAAATAAAGTATTACAAGTAAAACTACAATTAATAGTTAATGACTGATAAAAAAAACAAAACTGTGGGTTGTTAACTTTTCCAACGTCTGAAACGGGGTATGCAAGAAAAAGTATGAGAACCACTGCTTTAATCCATGAATCAAACAGAAATAAAAATCTAGGTTTGGACAGAATCAACAGAGAAATAAGCAACATTAAAACAGATTCTGTGTGACCACTTCTCCTTACAGAAGTATCAAGACATGAAAATGATTCAAACATAACAAAGCTTCTGACCCTCTACAGCGATCCGCTTTTTAGGCCAGTCTTTCATCTCTCTGGAGAGGACAGCACCAGTCCGCACACTGATTATATTGTCAGCCATGATGAACTCCAGGGAATAGAAGCGAAGCATTTCGACCCAGAGAAGTCCAACTTCCACTGGTGGATGAGGACTTTGAAACACCAGCGGAACCTGCAAGACAGCCTGATATTACTAAGAGTCTGAAAAATTATCACTCAAGTTTTCAATTTATTTAACAGCCTTTTAAAAAAAGAAAAAAAGAAAAAAAAACACAAAACACAAAAACAAAACAAAACAAAACCTGTCTCCAAATACAAGTCAAAATTATATTTTCTGTTCTTTGGAAGTCTTTCAGTTTATTTATGTGTGTCCATCTTCATGATTACCTTCCCCTTTATGGAGTTGCCTTCTGCTGGTTGAGATGACTCCTTGGAGGAAGGGGTGTAGGCCCAGTGTAAATACCCATCCTCTGTATGAGTAAGGTTGAAGTCTGACAGCCGGCTGAGAGAAAACACTTTGATCTAAAGATGGGCAGATGTTTGCATCAGTTTATTCCAAAATAATCCTAAAAAGAGTCAATAATGAAAAGCAAAACTAATATGGTTTTTTTTTGTTTTTTTTAAGGATGGAAATGAAAATAAAGACTTACATCTTGGTTGAAATAGGTAGGTAAGAGAGGTTCTTTGCGCTTCTGTAAGTAGAAGATAACCAAAAGGGCAAAGACATATGGTGGTAGACTCCCCTCTTCTGCGCGATCAATTTCACAGATCTTAACAGAAAGCCAAAAATGATGTTAAGAACAAATGCAACTTTGAAAAAAAGAAATGAGTGAATAGTTTTGATGCCTTTGCTAATGTGAGGAACAAGTCTTTGTCTACTAGAAACATACCCGGGCCCAGCGTCTGAAGCCCAAAACCAGTGGCATGAGGAGAGGCTCCTGAGTCGCCAGGGCAGAAAGATATGTGGTGGTTTGGAACGCGTTTTCATTCCCTGCACTAACTTTGCAGATTAGACCACTGTTGAGGAGGAAGGGGGAACAAAAAAATAAGTTAATTTTAATTTGGAGTTTTATGCTCTTGTGGTATGAGCACTATTAATATTCTCTTGTCACATGCAAGAAAAACCCATGTAACTGCAAATGATACAGACCTACTTCTCTCTTTACAGATGACTACAGGCACCCTGGCATGAAAGTCCGCCTCCATCTCAACAAACAGAGCTGAGAATAGCACAACACAAACAATTTAAACTTTCCATGACACTCAAGCACATGACTGAGTTTACCATGTCTGAAAGATTTCTTCAAGACTCTTGAGTCTAAAATGAAAACAAAACTCACAGCTCACAGAGAGGCACTCCTTAACCAACATCAAGACATCTGGCTGATGCATCTGTGAATACATTCCATTTCAAAGCCTTTATACAGCATAAATATAATATTAAAAAGAACATAATTATGGTGCATGCTACAAGCACAGCATACGCAACACAACTTGTGAAATCTAAAATCAAGTGAAATTATATTTTTCCCGCCACCCACACCACCACATCTTACCTTTGCCATATACTAATATTTTTGCTGTCATCTCTTGTATTTGTTCCCTTAAATAATGTCACCCTAAACCCACGTAACTTGTAACATATACATGCAGATGAAAGACTTCTTCCCCTAGCTATTATTCTCCTGACAGGCCTCCAGTTTTAATTTTTAACATTAATATCATTATAAAATTAACATAAAATACAATAAAATTGTATCACACATCATGAACTCACACTGTGTTACTCACGTGAGTTGGATACTGAATGTCAATGTTGACATCAGAATCCTTGAATCCAAATTTAGTGCAAGATGATCCATAAAGCCTGAGTCGGACCTCTATAGATGAGAGAAAGCAGGTAAATATTGCTACGATTTTAATAACACTGAAAGAGCACAGTTGTTGTATATTGTGAACTTTCCTCTTTATGTGTCTTACCAGGCAGAACAGACAGGAGGAGATCTTGCATGGTGGAGACAACACACCGTCTCTTCTCAACGTCCAGGTCGTTCAGACCATGTTCCTGGACAACAGCATCTAGTACTGCACTTATAGCACTGATCTGCTCTGGACTAGGAGGCAGGATCTCAGTCAGCATCAGCTGCTCTTGTCGCTCCTATAAGTCAACATGCAAATACAGGAAAGGGGTCTTGATCACAGCCTTTAATACATAAAAACTACTACTCCACAATAGCAACACAGTAATACAATCTATATACGGTAAATGTAAAATAACCTTGGCCCTTCTCTTGTGCCGTTTGTCCCGAATATGCTTGTAAGCTTCAGACACAGACTCTAGGAGAACATCACACAGGGCACAGTTGTAAAGAGCAGCAGGGTTGCTGTGGGACCTCTAAAACAATTGTACAACACACACAAAAAAAAAAAAAAAAAAAAAAAAAAAAAAAAAATTACACCGTTAGAAATATCTGTAAATCACCTACACCAACCAACTCAAACATTACATCACCTCTTACGGCTTTTAGGGTCTGTACCTTCTTTAGGCTGTAGATCTCGTCCCTGTTAAGCCGCCTCTCTGCTTGCCGTAGGTTGCGCAGCTCTTTGTTTGAGAGTGTGGACTCTTCAATCACAAAGCCCCTGTTCTCTTCAGCAAAAGCTTTCTTCTTGTTTCTGTTACGCCGTCTTTTACCTTTGAAAATGAGAAATGCAGGGGGAAGTATGAATTTCTAGTTTGTTTTCAACATAGACTTTGTGATAAAGCTGAAAGTGTTTCATTCCTTCTGCAGAGACTGACTTCCAGACATTTACCTGATTTTTGAAAACCATCATCCGTGGCTTCTCTCCTTCCCTGTTCCCTGTCCTCCTTTGGACTTTCTCCTTGCATACCCCTCCTCCAGCTCTGCTGTGGGCGCTCTCTCCAGTTATCTTCCTGAGGACCTGAGAACCACCGGACATCATCTCTCTGTGAGGGGCTGTGGCCTCCTCTTAATCCACCAGGAGAGTGGCTTAGGGGCCCCAGTCCTCCCTTCTTAGGGCTGGCCCTGTAAGGCCCACCTTGATTTTTCTTGGCCTGCTGGCCTCCATCTGATCTGAAGTTCTGTCCTCGCACCTGGTCCTGCATCCACCAGCTTTCTCCCTTCTCTGCCGCTGCTGCTGCCGCCCCCCTCTCCCTGCCGCCTTGCTTAGCCCGGTAAGGCCTGCCAGAGTTTTCCATGATACACTGCTGTGATAAAACTGCAAGATAAAATGTCCAGTTAATGTGGTAATAGTCCTTATGTAATCAAAACAGCACTAACACAAACTGTGTTACAAGAGACCTGCCAAACGTCTGCGTTTGGCAGAAGTCCCTTGTTTGAAGAAGCAGTGTCCCATTTCAGTTCATTTTATTTTGGCATGTAGAAAAACGTATATTGGTTGTAACTGCTCACAATTTTCACAACTTGCCATGTAATCCATACCAGACTGTTGCACAATTTATATAGGCGATGCCGCATTTTTATTTTTCAGCTCAGCACCTACTCGAAAATGCTGAGCCAATAGGTAGCGGGTGATAAAAACGGTAATATTAACCTCTCTAAAACACTGGCTGACTTCTGCAAACTCGGGTTAACAGTTAACCCTTTTTCAATGGACATGAACGCTGACATTCCTAAAATAAAAATTAAAAAACAAAAGCTTGTTTTAAATGTCAACATTTTTACGTCACTATTTTTAGTATAACACAGCCGCTTAGTTAGCTGAAATAGTTTGCGCACACACGTAAAGCCTAACCCAAACTACAGGATTGTGAGATTATGACATGGTGAAGACGTTAGCTAGCTTACCTAGCTTCAGCAGCGTTATTATTTGACTCTACTGTTACTTCTTCTACTTCCTCGAGCTGGTGGTTTATAACTTTGCCACCTCAGTGCCTTACAACTCGTCAACAAATAAGTGCTAGTAACCGCACTTGTTAGCTCCTGCTGCAACACAGTTACAGCAATGCTAACGCTAGCTACACATACTTAGCTTGCTAGCACAGGCACTTAAGGGTAACAGCTAGCAGCGGCTTTCGTCCCTGTTTCTTGCAATTTTTTGTCGAGCTGCCCAGCCTACAGCTGAGATAAAGGCAGCCATTAATTACACGCTAGCTTGTACTATACACGTGTATTATTAAATAAATCAAAATACCTCCCACTAGTGCACAGAGGACATAGTTGAAGCCTTGTTCAGTTCTGACTTGGCACGCTCTCTTGTCTTGCACTAGAGTTTGAAAGGTGACATAGGAGCCGTTTATTTTCTAGTCGTCAGCGGCCGTGTTCCGCCCACCGCAAAAAAGAAAAAGAAACTGATATATTGCACAGAAATTAAATTTTTAATACTTATAAAAACATCGTGAATATTAAGAACTTTATACACTGCTCACATTTTTGTAGTATACTTGAAATTATAATGTTGTTATTGTTGTTAATAATTTTCTGATGTTAGCATGATTATAGGAAGAACAAGAAGAAGAAAAATACATGTATCAAATCTAAACTATTTCATATACATTTCACATGTGAACATTTCATATGTAGGCTTTCTATAAAATAATAAGCCCAAGTAATTTGATGTTTTTTCTGCAAAAAGTTAAAGGGCAAGGCATCTATTGTCTTTTAATCTCTCTCTCTCGTGACTTAAGAGTATAACATAGATGGTGCCAGTGATTGTTTAGCTTTGGTTGCCCGGGGTCACAGGAGAGCCGTGAGCTGCCTGAGCGGGGAAGACCCCGCGAAAACTGACGTCATCAGAGAGAACTCCCCACTAAATCCAGAAACCAGCATCCAGGAGACTGCTGCTGTGGACTCACTGCTCTCAGTAGCCTAAATACGCAGTCGCTGGCCTAACAGCGTGTGTGCAAACCGGCTCTAGTCAGACACTGGAGATGGTGTCTTTTGAGAACTGTGAAGGTGGTTTCGACAGTGTTTTCAAAAGGAGCCGAATGAACGTCGCCTCTCCTTCTCCAGAAACTCTCACGCTGGCTCAACAGCGCCAAACTGCTCGGAATAGAAAACAGAAACTCGTGTCCAAATTAAGAGACTCTGGTTTTGAAGAAGATTTGGCATGCTCCCCGATTTCATCCCCAGCTAAGAATGAGATTTCCCTGCTCATGTCACAAAAACCTGTTGCAGGGCAACTCTGCAGCTGGTACCTTCAGTACGGAGACATCGGGTTTATGATCCAAAGGGAGAAAGAGGCGCAGTTTCATCCCTGCAAAAGCCTGGCACGCCAACCGCAAGTAAGACACTTACAGCTTGTAACTAAATGAACCGTGTTAGACGTATATTTATACTTTTTTGACTACTTAAAAAAATTAAAATATATTTGTTGTCATATAAATTGAACTGGTAATTCACTCCTTTTGTTTAAAGGCAGATAGTTAAATGTTCCAGTGAGAGTGACTTCCAGATATTAATTAGTTCTATTGTTCAACTAAAGAAACACCTGAGATGCAGAATACATGACGATTTTAGGACCATTTACTGATAATATGTAGGGTACTGTACTGTGAAATGCCAGAAAATATATACCTTGTTGTACATTAAGAGCACATCACATTTAAGAACCAAGGTCACTAAAAGTTTTTATTTTGATGAGTGTGTGTTTTACATACAGTTGACCGCAGAGGCCCGCTGTAAGCTGGTCAGCTGGCTCATCCCTGTGCACAAACATTTCCGTCTGTCTTTCGAGTGTTGCTGCTTGGCTGTGAACATCATGGACAGGTTCCTGGCCTCCACACCTGTTGCTGCTGACTGCTTCCAGCTCATTGGTGTCACCGCACTTCTCCTAGCCAGTAAACAGGTTTGTGTGGTATGCTCGTGGAGCAGACGGTTTGTGTTTTTGGATATCATTCTACTATCCTTTTCTTTGTCCTCTGCAGGTGGAGGTCTGCTCACCACGAATCAGCCATCTCTTGTCATTGTGCTGTGATGTGTTCACCAAAGAGCAGCTCTGCAACCTGGAGTGTCTCATCCTGCTTCGTCTTAACTTCCGCCTCTCTGCACCCACCCTGGCCTTTTTTCTAGACTATTACACCAACTGCATCGAGGCTTCACAGCTAGTGACTAGGAACAAAGGTGATGACAGGATTTCAAGGATGAATCCTGACCCAAAAATCCCCAGGCAGTGCAGCAACCTTGCACAAAATGTTTGTGAGCTGACTCTTGCAGACTATGCTTTCAACAAATACCCTCCATCACTGACTGCCAGCTGTGCACTGAGAGTAGCTAGTGAGTTACTGAAAAGTAAACAAGGTCTTCCTGAGCATGAAACCATCCATTCACACGAAGTTCAGTGGGACAGTTTTGTGGATGAACTATGCACACAGTCAGTTTCTTTTCAGCCAACAGGCAATTCTAAGCATTATGAGGGAGACTCACTAGCAGTGAAAGATGACAGCTACAAACAGAGTCTAGTGCAGGAATGCAAAGACAACCTGAAGCTGCTGGTGTCATTAAACCTGGAGACATTGGATGTGATGTCTACTATGTGACTACATGAGTGTGACTATTTTGATAACAGCAATTTAAATTCCCCTTTAATTGTGGGTTATAGTGTTATATCTTAAACAAAGAAGTGAGGATAAGATATCTATTTGGGGGGTTTTGGTGCTCAGAATTCTTGTGTTTATGCAGACCTACTTTTACTTATACATACCTCATAGACAGTCAACCGTTTACAGCTACAGGATGCTTATGATTTAGCATTGCTTTTTATTTATTTAAGATAATTTACTATATAATTATGAAGTATATTGAAATATAATTTTTATTTTTCATTATTTTTAACAAAAAGTCAGAATCCTCTGTATGCCAGTTTATTTGTTGTGGGTTTATGAGTTTTGTTAGTTTTGGAACATCTTTAATGAAGAAAAATGTGTTGTAATGAATTGATTGCTACAGTTAATTAAAATCATCTTCAAACGCATTTGTCCCGGTTTCTAAACTTATTGTGATTCATTGCAACTTATGTTTACTGTTGAAATAAATCAGCTATAAGCAAGATGTGCCACACGAAGTGTGAGCTACCACAAAGAATGCAGCTAAAATAATTTTGACTATCATATGAAACAGAATAAAATTAATTAAAATGACAACTTAAAGAATACATGTGAGTCAAAAACATAAAAATCTGCCTTGATTACATGCATAGGTAATCATGACACCTGAGAAAAAGCAGTTGAATGTCTGTTTGCAAATTCTTTGTATTTTAATAGACGTGGAAGTGGAGTCTCAGTTTTCACAGCACTGCAGTATTAAATGACTGATGACAAAATGTCACCCCAGAAAGCACGTTTTTTACAAGTATAAATCCAATACCCCCCACCCTACACACACACACACACACACACACACACACACACACACACACAGAAACACACACGACCATGAAAGTGCTGTAAATGTGAGGATAAGACCTTGTGTGTAACATTACTTTCTTCAATGTACTGACTCTTGTGGCTCTCCAACACGGGCTATTGTGCTTGTTTGTCTGGAAGTCCGTTTACCCTCGTTTTTTGTTTACCCTTGGCTATATTATGTGAAACCAAATTGTGCCATCCCAGTTTGGTCAATCGAGGGGCTTTATCTGATAATCCATTACGCGTGGCAGCTCGACCTGCTGACACAGTGTCGACCACACAGGTGTATTCAGCGTTAAGGGTACTCTTGTTTGTTTACTAATAGAGGCATTTGTCACGACTGTTTACTGAGCTGTCGGCTGTAATTGCCCTTTTCCTTTTCCCCTGCTCTTTAACTGTAGCAGAAGGATTGTACCTAAGCTAATTAGATATTTTACGCACAGTAAGATGGAAATTACGCACTGACTGTTATGGTCGCAAACATGCTATTAAATAAATTGATGAGGATTTATTAATAAATACATAAAATATGTAATAATTATTACGATATATAATTATAAAATAAGATATTTTGGCGACTTTATTTTGTGACGCTCAGCTTGCACAACATCTGTTGTTTATGTACGCCATACAATACATGAGCCTAAGGCATTTTTCTAAACATTTCAGTATGTCCAAAAGAAACCATAGCCAGCATCTGGCACAGGGACTAGCTGAATGCTCAAGGAAAGCAGGTCTGAGGCAAGGAACACCTGCTGTAGCCTAATGGCGCCGTTACGCGCGGCACCACTGTTACACTTCAGAAAACCGTTAGTCTGCACCCGTTTAATCTCCGAGGACGCTGTTACTCCCTGGAGACCAAATAGGTGCATTTGATTGGGTCGAAAGTGTGAAACCGCGGCATGAAGAAACGCAGACCGGGAGAACGTCGAGTATATCAGCTCTAAATCAAATCATGCCCTCCTAGTTCTGCAGACGGAGCTTAGCTCATCGAGATGCAAAGAGACGGAAAAACGTTTGATGGTATTTGTCCCAACCAAGTGAGGCAAAAATGGACGAACGCTGTCACAAACAAAACGGTTTGAAATATTTGTCTTTTCACAAAACACAGAGCTTCTTTGTGCAGTGGGAAAGACTTTTATAGTGTTTTCTACCCACAGGATAAAGTGTTTGTGCCAAGAAGCAGCAGTCCCGTCACTGTGTATGTTGAGTTTCCATGTATCATCGAACAAGGTAAGCTCAACCTGACACAATGGGTGAATTTCAGGGTTAGTGCCTTTAAGTCACTTTGAGCTCATAAATGCATTCAGGGGTCCCACTGTTTTCTTCTGTCGCAGCTTTCTCAACAATTGCATGGGATGATTTGGAAGAGGGTGTGCCCTCTATGAGACAGGAGAGAGACTCCTTCGGCTGTCAGGTGAGAAAAAAACACCGAAGACCAATGTTCTTTTAAAAAATGGACATCAGTTTTTGTCACATCTCCACGTAAATGGCATATCTTAAACGTAGCCATGTAAATCAACCCCTTTCCGACGGATGGAGATGTAGGATGGTGAGCAGAGCTGCAGGTCTGGATCACTCTGTTAATGTTTGACACGATGTGCTGGAATCCTACACGAATGTCATTGTACTTAACTCATGACACACACGCTAGAAAATGGTCCAGTCTTTTTCCACGAGCTGACACAGACAAGCGTAAGCTCATAACGCGACAACACGAAAACATATTGACTGAAATGTCAACTAATACATTTTCTGCTTTAACATCGTATTGCCCTGATTTTTCCTGGTGGGATTTCCAGGTAAAACTGCTATGCACCTTTTCGTTTTTCTTTTTCGTTATTTTAAATCGAATTGTTTATATGAAATACTGATAAATGCTGATCGTCATTTTTATTTCCACACAGGAATTGGATGCAAATGACCAGGATTTTGGAGAATATGGGCTGGATTTCATGGCAGGTGAGAAAACTAAACCTTCCACACCGCTGGGGTGCTGCTCATCGCTATTGTTACTTTTATATTGACATGAATACAGTTAAAATCGTGCACCTCCAAAATCACGTTGGCTAAGTCCTTGGGTTCTTGTCTTCTCTGTCAGCTTCGCCTACAACCCTGGAGAGCAGTTTGTCTTCAGCTGAGCTGGTACCTTATCAAGGATATGTTATACCTCCCCTCACCCCTCAGCACAACCTTTCACCAGAAGACAGTCTGGTTAACTCATCTGCAGAAACAGGCAACCCACCTGCCCAGGATGGAGATTCCTGGAAAGGGATAGCAGAGTGTCATGGAAAGGCACTGGGACATAGCATAGCAGTCAACAAACAGGTAAGGTCTTATGGAGCATTACTGCACAATGTAAATGATGTACCGTAAATGGTGATACGAAGTTTGATGTAATTTGGACTATAATGGATCTAAATTGTGAAATTATAATTGTTAAAAATTATAATTATATTAATTATTTAGTTATATAAACCTATTTACCTGCTATAACATCCAAGACCTTATCCTGATCAGAACCCCGTTTGGTTTAAAAGGTATACAATGGAGATTTTGTGGAAAACCTACACGTATAGGTAAATTACACGTGCATTTGAAATAACTGTTTGTCCACATCTAAACACAAACTTAGTTATGCCAACATTAAAAAATAAAATAATTATTAAAGATGAACACATCACAGAAAATATTTTGCTTTGTGTGCTTGCAGCTCCATGAGTCCCTCCAAAGTCAACAAGATGAGATTGATTCTCTTGAAGAAAGAAACGTTCACCTCAGGCAGCTGGCTAATCGAGCAAAACACCTAGCCTCTGTGCTTGAAGTAAGTTCAGAACTGTGAGAAGTCAAATCAGTATTTATCATGTATATGATGTAACCTCTTGGTTGTATTGTCATAAATTGTGTTTCAAACTTTTTAATCTTTAAACTTTTTAGTCTTTAATTTGGATCATTTTCTTTCAGAAATTGATGACAGTCAGAGACTCAAATGTAAAAGAACCAGTAATGCCTTATGGTGGTGACAAAACCTCACTGAGTCCTTGTAAGCGCCAGCGACTGGATGAAGGATATGAAACTGAATCCTCTGACTCAGTGGAGGACATGTTGAGGGATATTAGCACACGCTGCAATGCTGTACTTCACAGCAGCTCTACAGAAACAAGGCTGCAACAGGAATCAAAGACAATATCCATGTATGGTGCATTCTCAGGCCTGCAGACATCCATAGCTAAAGACAGCAACATGACTGTGGATGCAGCAGAAGCTGGAGAGAGTGTCTCATCTTTTAGGACCTCTGTCAGAGAACACAGCACTATAAGAACTCAGGTCTTTCCTCACGGACATGCCTTTACCTCAAGGACTCAGCAAGGAGGATACCGCTTTCGCTGGGTTCCCAAACAAAGCTGAAATGAGAGATCAGCAAATAAAGCTGGAGTTGTTATGTGGCTCTGATTAGTCATATGCAGATGCCCTAATTCTGTTGGGTGGACAGAAGTGTATGTGTGGGCTGCAACTGTTAATGCTTAACTTATAATCTATAGTGATATCTGTAAGTGATTCAGTGATGTCTTCCTCAGGTAGCTTGAAAGCTAATCATTCAGAGAAGAGGTGCTTAACAAAGGAAATTAAACTGCCCAAGCTGTTGTTTACATTGCGTTTTGGTTTACATAGTTTAATATTTGTTTATGTTTGCATCTCGCTATATATTTGTTGTCCTGGAAAATGCCAGTGATTTTACATATTTGGAAATAAAAATGTTTTTAAAACTGTAAAACAATGTGTACATTTTCATGTAGCTGACTCAAGTTTTTTTTTTTTTTAAGATGATAAGGGAGCTTAGGTGATAATTAGGCAAATGGAAATAAACTGTGAACTTTCCTTGTTTGAGCAGTGAAACAAATGTAACCCTATGACCTGCTTTAAGAAGCAGGGGCTTTGTCTCTGTCTGAGTGACTGTGTGGCCTGAAAGAGTGGACAGAGCATTGATGTAGTGCAGCCAACATCCTTGTTTATATCCTTTTTGGAAATGTAAACAGATTCTCTCTTTTTTGGGGGCTGTATTTCCTGACTTATCACTCTTATGAACCTGACTGCTAACACAATAGTTGTATAAACAGTATACCCTGAGGGAAAGACTTTAGCTGTGTCATCTATCTAAAAAAGCAAACAAACAGAAAATCGGATTTAACACACAAAAAACAAACCCAAACCACCATAAACCAGGCAAAAACAAAACAAAAAGGAAATTAAACCAAGAAGAAGAGATTAACTTATCTAAAGAGGATGTTACCTTTGAAAATCTTTCTTCCACCTCACTGTTGAAATCTTTAGCTGTAAGAACCTGGCTGGTACACAAGACATTTGGACAATCTCAGGTCAGGCACCTGTCTAAACTTCCACAACCAGGGCCTGTTTGTTTTACAGCAGTGAAGGCAACAGTGCAGACCCTTGACTGGGGACAGTTTACAGTACTGACACTCCTGCTGTCATGAACACCGCATTTAACACAGCGAGTGCAGATAAGAAAAACCTGATAGTGAGATGGAGAACTGATTAACACAGGCCTGACTATTTATTTAAAGACCATGGAAAGTTACACCACCAAGGGAAGTTGAGGTGCATTTAACCGATAAATAACTCATAGCAAATTTATACTTAAAGACCACTTGACTGATGTTTTTTTTAAATCCAGCTTTATACTGGCTTTGCATTACAGAGAAACTTTTTAAATCAATTTAGTCATTGCAAAAGAAATGTGGTGTTTAACTTTCAAGAAGAAACTTAATGATGAGGAGAGTGAGGTGTGGCAGATTCTTACATCTGACCTGTCCAGCTGCTTCTAAATAGATGCAGATAGCCCAATAATAATTATCTAGTTAAACCATCCTACTTCCCTTGTTACATTCTGGTCAACCTTGGCCACAATCTGATGCTTAATGTCAAATTTCAGCCACTTTATTATAGAAAACATCTGCACGTGTGCTGAGCTCGACATCCAGCCGGGCCTTGAGCCACTTTTACAGCAAACAAATGCTTTTGTATCTGATCAGCACCGCTGGTGAGAGCATGGCACAGGGCAAAGCATTGTATAAGCTGGCTGTGACACTTTTGACCTGTTAAGCTACCGCCAAACTGCGGGGAACAATGCGGGAGGAGAAAGGAAAATACAGACACAATGCGTTTCTAAGGTGACTAAACTCAAACCTGGAGAGAGGCTGCAAGCCCGACGGAGTCCAGCGGGAAAAATACGTATTGTTCCTGTGGTGGGATACAGACGTGTAAGGTTCTGGGCAAATGAAAGCTAATTCACATTTAACTCATTTAAAAAACTTAAATGAACTGGCTAAATACAATATTACATGAAAATGCCGGCTGTTTAAATTTGATACATTTTATACTGATGAAAAAAACAAAACCAAACTAGTTTAACCATTTTTATTTTATGAATGAGAACTGGATGGATTTAGATTATAGTGCTATGTGGTAATTTTGTTTGCTCTGCCACAGATTTGTGAATTTTCCAGGTTAAAAGTAAAAATAACAAACACTGAGCCGTTTGTTGTTGTTGTTGTTGTTGTTGTTGTTTCTGTTGGGCGTGATGATAAATTAAAGGTTACTGTGGGTTATCTTGAGAGCTTAACCTTTTATGTCTATCATTTGGACTCTATGACAGCCCGATGGAGCACCTGGCGCACTGTCCCGGGCTCGCACTCGAGGTGCGAGAGCATATGGAAGTGGCAGGTGGCAAGAACGTGCGTGCTCTCGCGCCGTTCGGCCCACTTAGCGCCAGAGCAGCTCCTCATTAAACGGTGTGGCCCGCGGATACAGGGCCTTTACCCGCAAAACACGGCCACTGATTGCCCACCAGAGGAGCTGTTACAGGTTTATGACAACGCATTAAATCCAATCAGTAAAATCTGCAGTTTGCGGAGTGTTTATTAGTATGTGTTGTCAAAATTTGCTGATGTTTGAATTCACTTCCAAACATCTAAAACAACTTATTAGGCCTACAATTTAGCAATAAATAAATATATAAATAATAATAATTGTATTTCTTAACATGCTAAATATTTAAGGCTATTCGGTCTCAGTTCTCGTTTTGGCATGTTTTCAGGATTTGTAATTTATGATTTACTTACAATAAATTTTCGTGTGCTTTAAAGGTGCCAATCTGCACGATCCTACCTCTTTCCTAATGTAACTAGCCGATAATCATCATTAGCCTTTATATTTAAAATTATGCTTTCTTCAGCGACATAACAAGCTGAATATAAGCCTGCATCTGTAAACCATGTGATTAAGTGTGCAAACTGACACCACCCTAAAGAAATAAAGGTGAAGTAGTTTGTCCTTGTCTAAGTTAGGACATCAACTGATAACACGCAGCCACCTCCACCTTTATAACATTACCGCGTTGTTCTTTTCTTTTTCTTTCTTTGTCTGTTTGTTTCCATTAGAAACCAGGACGCGAAGGGAATCCCTGAATAGGAGCGAGTCTATAGGCCGCTTAATTAAAAACAGGGGGGAAATGGACCTAACTGCCAATAGCACAGCAGAGGACTTTGCTTCCCGCTCCGGCGTCCGCCCAGTGAGAGTATATAGGAGAGGAGACAACAGGTGCACCAGGCATGACCGGTCAGTGTCCTCACTTGGGCTGAGATAGGGAGGACTGAGATAGTGGGGACTGGGGCATGCTTAAATGAAGGAAATGGAAGATGCGCCTGAAACGCTGGAGTGAAGATTCACGCAGATGGGTAAGTAAGTTATAACATAGTTGCGGGCAATTAAAATAGCCTCAGTAGAGCAGTCAAGACATGTTATATGTTACTTAGGATCGGTTGCTGTTGCTGCTACCAGGCAACTCAAACACTAAACACAGGGACTCTTCCTATTTGGGTTCTTCTAACCACAGCATGTGCTACGTATAGTGGTGTAGAAAAAACAAACAAAAACCCAAAACACACAGTCACTTATATTAATTGCAGCATACTTGAAATAGTCCTCACCTTGGTGAATAACTCTTTGAAAGCACAGACTAAGATGTTAGAAACTAGTTTCACGTGATGATGAGCTGAGCTTGTGGTGTTTTTGTTTTTATGATCAGGAGGAGGATGTTGCGAGATTTTACAGGAAAGCGGCACTTTCCCTTCAAGGTAAGAGGGGGAACTAAAGTGAAACTGGCATTAAAATAATCAGAAATGTTCCCGCTTCATTTGTTGGGTGCCTCCTTCCTCTTTCTGCTGATCTTGCAGTGTCAGTGCGGCAGTGTACTGCTGCTGGCTGTGCTATTTGACTGACAGCTGTCAGCTGCACTCCTCACTGCTACTGTCAACTCACCTGAAACATGTTTGCCGACACTGCCACGTAACCCGCTTCTTATTATATTATAGTATATAATAAGAAGTCAGCCGAGAGTAAAGCTGGGAGACAATTCTACATTTTGCATACTGATAAATGAGCAGCTGGACGTCGGTACAGCAGTCAAATCCACGCATTTGCATTTACATGGACAGATGTGTTGTGACTGGTTGGGTGGCAGTGTAATGTTAGCTGACGTTTCTTCAGCCAGCTCACACTGCTCTGCTACTTTAACAGTTACATTTCACTGTGGGTCACACTAATGGCTCAAAAGCCATTCAATATGACTTTTAAATGTTTGCAAACTCTGCAAAGAAAATATCATTTTTTTTATTATAAGGACAGAAGGTGAAGTTGAATTGTGGGTGGCTGGAAGGCAGTGTCTTGTTAGCTGGTAGTTTCTTCCTGTGCCAGCTCACCTGCTGCTGCCCTCCAACTGTCCATTTAATCCACACCAACAGTGATGTCTGTAGTCACCCTTCACTGCTATCAGTACTAAGATGCGATTCATTGATTCTATTGTCTATTTTATATTATTTTCTCATAGCCATAAATATTCAGAAAAATCAACTACAGCACCATATTTAAGGAGATGGCCTTAATATCAATGCATTAACATTAGCAGGTAATTTGTAATGTGATTTAATTATTCAGTTAAGAAAGACGCTTAATACCCACAACACAGGACATCTAAATGAAAAATCTTAAAGTCATTAGTTAAAACAAATACTTATGAGAGCTTTTTATTGTTTGATAGATGCTGCACAGTTTGCTGGGCTCAAATCAGTCAAATCAGGCTCAATTAATTTGCTTCCTCTTAAAAAAGATTTTAATGTAAACACTGGAGAGATGAAAAGAAGGAAAGCTGAACATTTCAAAATGCCAACAACTGAAAAGCTAAATAACCACTGCAGCTGCAGCAGTGGTCATTTTAAGAAATGCTCATCACTGACCACAGGATAAACACCCCCACATACACTCATTTACACACACGCACACACACTCTGACTTGCATTGCATCACGGTGATTGCCTGATATTTTCATCTTGCATCTTTCTGGAATGACAACCCTCTCCAAGCAACACTCGCTGTCAACAGTTCAGTCCTTCCTGGCTGCCACAGCTCAGGAAACACAGACATAAAGCAGTGCTATGTCCAGTACCGATCACTAGGGGCCATCATAGCTCCACTCGTTTCTTTAGGATGATTTCCCGCACCATCGCTGTGACCTCTTCTCTGATGCTTTCCATGGGCTCGTCTGTTCGCCAGAATCGAACCACCTTCCCTTCTGGGTTCACCAGAAACTTCCAGAAGTTCCACTTTGGAATTTTCTTCACAGAATCTGAAAAACAAACAAGATGTCGCAGAACAGTCGTTAATGCTACATTTCTTTCTTTTTAATTTATCTTATTTTTAAGCAATCTTTAAAGTTGTTTGCCCAAGATGGGCAGCAACAAGTAATTCAGTTTCCATATAGTGAAACAAACTATTACACACTGAAGACAAAAAAATGTTCCTCAAAGGTAAAACCAGGATAAAACAGAGACAGACACATCAGGGTCTAAAATATGCTTAAAAACACTGACAGTTAGGTAGATTACAGGATGCTAAAATACCAAATGCCTTAATTTAATAACTTAATAGCAGAGTACCACGACGACAGAAAAAGTTACTTCCTAACAGAAGTGGACACTATCAAATCAAAATAATACATGCATAAAAAAATTATATTAAATAAATAAAATAAGAATAAAAGAAAATACCTACACAAGCCTATAGTATCATTTCAATATTATATAATTTGATAGTGCAGTGAAAAATGTATGTGTTGTAACTGAAAATCAAGTGAAAACCTAATACTAAAAAACTCAAATGTGCATACTTATGTTCATATGCTGTAATAGCATTAATTCAAATGATAAATTCCCCTTGGCTACTGCTAATCATTATAGCTCACCACGACTGTTGTGTTACTGTATATTAATAATATTAACTGTAACTGTAAAAATACAGCTAATTAATAAAACCAGATTCTAATGCATGGAGCAGAATGTCAGTTCTGCTGCTTTACAAACATAAATGAAGTTGCTACTTAGCAGATATGACACTGAATTGATTAAATTTTATACCATCAAGTCTTGTAATCACAGAATAGATCAGAACCATACTTTATATTCCAGTTACCTCTGGAGTTCATAGACTTGTTCTGCAGGTCTTCTTTCAGGTGCATCATGTTCATAAAAACTCATTAAATTACCCTGGGGTGATTGAAAAATACAAAACTTTACGTTCAGCTCCACATTTTACAACAGTAACAGATTATTTTCCTCTCAGATGAAGTAAAAGTAGGCTTTGCCTAATCTTGTTTGGTTTTAGACTATCAACACTTGTACCTGGAATACAGGTGAGACCAATTGTTAAGTATTTGAGGTTTGGCGACAGCTCCAAATTTGACTTCCTTCCATCATTAAATACATCCTGCACTTGGAGCAGGTATAAATATGTAATCAGCGTTTCTGTGATCTCACTCAGTGATCCCACAGTCATGATATTCGTTAAAAGTCTTTCTCCCAACCTGTGAGGAATTTGAAAGCAGGGTCAGCCTCTGATCCCATTATTTTGATCTTGCTGAAGAAAGGAAAGGTAACACCGTAGGCTGACTTGGCGAAAGCCTCGATGTCCCGGCTGGTTCCGGTCTCCGTATCCCCGAACTGTCCGCAGGGAAAGGCCAGGACGTTGAAGTGAGAGGTGCCCAGCTCCCGGTGGAGCTCCTGTAGAGACTTGTAGTTCGCCTCCGTCTGCTGGCAGTAACTCGCCACGTTTACAACTAAGGACGCCTGCAAAAGAGGGGATTAGGAGCAGTGCACAGTTATTTTAAAAAGCTCTTAAAAATACGCACTCTGCAAATAAATCAAGTCTAAACTGACACGGGGAAAGTTAAACAGTTAAACGGGTTTATTCTCAGTCTGAAACGACGGCTGATGATGTGGACATACTTTTCCTCGGTACTTCTCCAGAGAAATCGTCCTGCCCTTCGCGTCCTTCACCTCGAAAGAATAAAAATCCTTCGGTTTTCTGGGTTTCACCAGCTGGGTCTGCAGAAGAAATAAACACCCCACACCCACCGTCATGCTCAACAGCACAGTTAACTTTTTCGCTTTTGGGTTGGAGGACCTGGTAGGATAACCTCCCAAAGCCTCCATCTTGGAGGGGAAAGAGCAAACCGTAGCTTGAACTGGGGCTCTCCTTCCAGAAGTTCTGGGGCGGATCAGAGGAAATAGTCGCGTTAAGCTGGACGGAGAAACGGTGAAAGCGACTATACCGGAAACTCAGCAGCAAAATAAAACTAATAATAAGTGAACTTTACATGTAAATACTCGACTTTCAGCTACACTACAGAATCCTATATAGGCCGACTACAGGGTCAGCTGAAAATATTTTTTTTAAAAACAAAACAAAACAAAACAAACAATGCCTTATGTTTTAGTTTTGTTAGGTGTGTTCAATATAAAAAGCATAAGACGGAATTAATATTGAGACTGATGTCTATATCACTTGTTTTTAATGTTGGAAAACATTAAAAACAGAAATCGGGAACTTATTATTATTATTATTATTATTATTATTATTATTATTATTATTATTATTAATAATAATAATAATAATATCATCATCATCATCATCATCATAATCATAACAATAATAAACATGCCTGAATGCTCAGTGCAGATTATTAGCACTAGAGGAACCTCAGCAAACACTTAACCAAACTTTCCAGTGGTTTCCTCAGTAATCACTGTAAAGCATTTAAATAACTACAGAATCTTCATCTGCTATGAAAGGTTTCAAAAAATTAAGAGGAAGTTAGGCTCTTAATAGATTAGTTTCTAATGATATAAAGTTACTGTTTAGTACATTTTAAATAACCTTATTTTGAGATGGTATTAAAAAAAACAATTGTTATTTGTCTGCTCAGGGACAATACGAGGCCCATGAAGTCACATACAAATGCTTCAGGAGGCGGATCATCCAGAGGCGCTGCAGAGAAAGCCCTGTTGCAAGTACCCCACTGGCCCCTGGGCGGCAGTGTGAGCCAAGCTTCGAGTTTGATACCATCTGTCAGAGGCTGGAGCTCGATTCTCCACCGAGAAAGCATGAACCGGGACAGGGAGTCCTACCAGGAAAAATCCAAGGTATTAAACAACACACAGAAGTTCAGTAATAATAATAATGCAATACTGATGCCAGGCATATTCACATAAGTTAGGTCATTAAAAGTGTGATTAAACTCAAAAATTACCCGAAGTCAGGTTTTAAACGACTGATTTTTAGAAGAGGGGAAAAACGACTGATTCAGGATTTAAAGCATAATGTGTATGTCATAAAAATGCAACAATGTTTGTGTAATTTGGATAAATATTTTGGTTTAAAAAACTCCAACCAACTTTATCCTGCCACATGAAGACCCTAGTCACCACTGGGGACTGTACCCAAGCTGTTGGTGTTGCACTTGAACAGCATATTTATGATTCAGCTGGGTAACACTGTTCTTATATGACACTGCTGATTTTAAAATGCACGGGCATGCACTCCCCTAGGCCCATATCTAGAAACAACATTCATTCTTTTTAATCTTCACCAGGTGTATCATCATACTGACACAGTACATTTTTACCTGAGAGCTGTTGGACGTTTTCTATGATGTCATTTGATTTCACCAGAGGCAGCACTGGTGGGAGGCTCGTCTCACTCTGAGTCTGTTAAGTTGGTGAACACAGAGTGCACGATCGCTGCAAAGACACGGCCTGCTGCAGAAAATGCCCCACAAGAGGTTTGTTTAAGGAAGCTGCACTTCCTCGTTTGTGTCTGTGTGTGGTTGTGATGCAGTAGTTTGAGGGGGATGCTAAACTGATTTCTGCAAGTCATCGTCTCATACACGAACATAGAAGTTTTCATTTAAAAGTGAAAAAAGTCAGAGAGTTTTGTATGTGTGTGGTTTCCAAAAGTTGCTCGAAGTGAAATAAAATAAAAGAACACAATCAGTTTGATATAAGAATAATAAAATGTTATTATCCTATCAGAGATGGTGGTGTGGTGGCTAGCTCATCTGCCTCACAGGATGAAGGTCCTGGGTTTATGTAGAGTCTGGGGCCTTTCTCTGTGAAGTCCAAAGACATGCAGTGGGTGATTGGTTATTCTGAATTGATTTTAACTGTGAATACTTTTTCTTGTCTTGTGTTATGGCCCTGCAACAGATCGATGTATAAAGCATATAAAAAAGTAAATCTGCATATATTGCTAATGCTAACTTTCAATGATATGCTAATTTTAGATATTTTTGAAACCTGAATAGTAATAATTCTTTTCCCTTTTTTGGTTTTGTTTTACAGCGATGGGTATGGAGACCTGCAGTTCAAGAACCTGAAAATCTCAATCGCTCAGGTAGATCATGTTTCTACACAGCAAAATCTCCAGTGTTAATTTAACACTGGAGATTTTGCTGTGTATGAATGATTGTGTGAATGATCTCTGGACTGATACTACATGATGTCATACTGGGGAACCCAAATACATACTTTGATCACGCTGCAGTTTTTTTTCCGCTTTGTTTTTTGAATGCTGGATGATGTAATTATAGGTTTACTTTATCAGACTGCACACCAGTTTTTGAAGTCTGGAGAAATTTGGTAGCGTACAAAGACAACAAAGATAACATCTGGAATAGCAATAAGGAAGAAAAGTTTGAAAGAAATCACGTGTTAAATTCTCTTGACACTTTATTCACATTTAGGCACTTTAGCAGTCATCACTAGTTTCAACACGTTCTAGTTTAATGCAACGAGTGCTTAATGCACATCAATGTGGATGCTTGCTGCAACTATTGATTCATGTCAAAAACACGACACAACAAAGAAAGTGTTTGAAAATTAATGGATTAACAGCAGATGTACAATGTATGTTTTGTAACAATATCTTTTAAATTATATTTTTATCATTGAAGGTTATGATGAAAGAAAATATGATCTTCAGCCATTTGCCACTCTGAACAAAGCCACTCTGAGCCTGCACGGGAAGTCAGTGGTTAAGTTGGGTGCACCATCACTGCTGAATGATTACTGTAAGAGAAAATGAAGCCCTAAATGACTTTTACAAATACTGTTTTTTTGCTTCTGTACACCACCACAGTAGATGTTTCTTTCCAAGCTCCTTAGACTACAATGACCTGGGTGACTGAGAACCTTCACAGACACCACAGTAGACTGTAAAACAATCCAAATGTGGCTGAAATGTAGTTTTCAGCTTAAATTCATTGGGGTTAATAATGCTTTGCATTAGCTGTTTAGGAATTATAGTCACTGTTATAAATAATCTAATTTTTAAAGGGTCAGAAGTAATTGAACAAACTAATAATCCTTTGCATTGCATTAATTCTGCCTGAAGTCTAGAATGCATGGACATGATTAAAGGTGGTGCTTCCTCCCTTGAGATGCTCTGCTGGGCCTTTACTTCACCACTGTTGGTTGGTGCTTATTTGTGGGCTTATTTGCATTTAAAACTGATAAGCATGCTGTTCTGGATTAGGATCAGGTGACACGTCTTCTTCTATCAGTATTGGGCCATTAAGAAGTTGTACATCTACGTGCTATAACATTTCCATCATGTTTGACGAATGATGGTGGTTGTGTTGGGGTGTGCTGGTGAAATTTCATTATTTTAAATAGCATAGCCATATGGGCAACAAAAATACAACCTGGAACATCTGCTACTTGATTTTTTTTTCTGAAAAATACTTACTGAAAACACTTTGGTGGATATAACAGATTTAACAAAAAAAAAAAAATGTTTATAATTAAGGCTCATCCTGTTCATCAATAATTTATGCCTACGATATAGTCCTCTGTAGTCCTTTGTTTTTGCAACTTTGTCATTTCAGACACTAACCTTCTCGACTGCAGCTGTAGTGGCATGGTTGCATTAGGACTCGGCTCTTCAGTTTACATTTGGAATTCAGAAACTCGATTTATGCCCTAATCGAGGATAAACTGGCATGGTTGAGAAAATCTTGGGGGACGCTGCTTAAATGTGAAATAGATATACAGGCATGGGACAAAATCTTGCTCCTTCCATCCAAAATCTCTGTTTGTAACCGATTTAAAGAACTGCAGTACAAAATTTTGCACAATGTGTATATTTCTCCATATATTTATAGTAAGTATAATATGGGAATATCTCCAAACTGTCTCAAGTGTAAGGTCAGAGTGGGCACTAGATTCCACTGCTTGTGGGAATGTGCTATTATTCAGTCATTTTGGAAAGAGGTCTGCGCCAATATTAGTACAGCCATTGGTCATCAGGTGACAGAAAACCCATTAATGTGTATATTGGGATATATTCCTGTCTCACTGGTACAACATGAGCATGTAATTCAGTCACTGTTAATGTTGGCCAGGAAAAGCATTATGTTGAGATGGGTGGGGGCTGAGCCTCCCTCCATTTCTCTATGGAAGTCGCTCATCATTGAAGTTATGACTCTGATCAGGCTGGGACATTATATTGATGGGAGCTCCCGAATTTTTGTTTACAAATGGAAGAGACCACTGGAAGCACTGGGAGTAACCTATAAACTGGATCCTAGAGGACAACAGTTATGGACATAATGTTGTAATATTCTAGTGCTGTGTAGTGTTATTATTTTGGATGTGAACCAGTCTTATATTTGTTGGGGAAAAAAAGTTAAATAAAAGTTAAAAAAAAAAAAAAAAAAAAAAAAAAAAAAAAAAAAAAGTTGTACATCTATGTGCTATAACATTTCCATCATGTTTGACGAATGATGGTGGTTGTGTTGGGGTGTGCTGGTGAAATTTCATTATTTTAAATAGCATAGCCATATGGGCAACAAAAATACAACCTGGAACATCTGCTACTTGATTTTTTTTTCTGAAAAATACTTACTGAAAACACTTTGGTGGATATAACAGATTTAACAAAAAAAAAAAAATGTTTATAATTAAGGCTCATCCTGTTCATCAATAATTTATGCCTACGATATAGTCCTCTGTAGTCCTTTGTTTTTGCAACTTTGTCATTTCAGACACTAACCTTCTCGACTGCAGCTGTAGTGGCATGGTTGCATTAGGACTCGGCTCTTCAGTTTACATTTGGAATTCAGAAACTCGTGGTCTGGTTGGACATCTGGACCTGAGTCCACAATCAGGATGCCGATATCGTCAGTCGGTCTCGTCTCTGTGCTGGAGCACAGATGGAAGAGCCCTCAGTATCGCGACTAGACGAGGGGAGATACAGGTAAATGAGCTCATAGAGGTTGGAAACTTATTCAAACCAAATGTGGTATGGGGGGCTCTGTGAGAAGGGAAGTGTCATATTTACTGAATCAGCAGGATGACTGTTTGTGGTGTCTTTGTCTCTCTTTGACTCTTTAGTTGTGGGATGTCGAACACAAGCAGAACATGAGGTTTCTGCTGTCACACCTGGCTGTGGTGAGAGCGCTTTCTTGGAAACAGCAGTTACTTAGCAGGTACCCATTTGGTTTGTTCTGGTATTTAAAGAAGGTGCTGCTTAATAATGAAATGGAAAAGATTGACCAATTTGGAAATTATGCTAAATAAATGAATGAATAAATAGGATAGATAGGCTTAGGATAAGAGCTAAAGGCATACAGCTTTATCTCTTTAATAGAAGAAATGTAGATGAATTAGTCACGGACAGGGTAGGAGACACTTAATCAATAAAAGTGTCCATAAAAGCAGTGTTTTTTCTGACAGTGGATCTGTTCTTGGACATATCTGTCACCTTGACCCACGGGCTTTCACACCTCTGGTAGGTGCAACCACCCAGAGGGAGGGGGTCTGCAGTCTGCAGTGGTCACCAGGAGGCAAATGGCTGGCCAGCGGCTCCACAGAAGGCCTTCTCCATATCTGGGATGATGACATCATGGGAAAAAAAATGTCAAGTCAGCCAATAATGACAGTGAAGCAGCCCAGTGCTGTGAAGGTCTGTGTACTTGGATTTGGAGGCTAAAAGTAAACTGTTTGGCATTTTTAAAGGCTGACACAGCCAGAGTTACAGAGTTTGAGCAGACGTCAAAGCAGTTAAATGTGAATAAGAGGCTAATGGTTTTAATGTGTAAGGATTTTGGGTTAGTAAACAGAGATTTAAAAATGCTGTTAATGTATCCACCTTTGTGTGTGTTATTTTGTTAGGCAATGGGGTGGTGCCCATGGCAGGGAAACATTATTGCTACAGGAGGGGGATGGAAAGATGGTGAGCTGAGAATCTGGGACACACAATCAGCATCTTGTGTTACTTCTGTGCAAACAAATTCACAGGTGCTTGAGAATTACAGTATTGTGGATATTTTTGTTTTGCTGTATTTAAAAATGCTGGATAAACTATTACTATTTACCCTCATTTGCAGATCTGTTCTCTACAATGGGCTGAAAAGAAGAGATATCTGGTTACAGGTCATGGCCTACCTCATCACAAAGTCACATCTTGGGTGTGGGAGTTTCACTCTCTCAGCCCCATTTACCAGTTCACAGGTTAGAAAACCAAAAAACACACAAGGCTGTTCTACATTACTATAACCTTTTTATTAATAAAGTAAATAATTCTGTTTAATGCAACGTTAAATTGTATCAGCACTGCTGTCTGATACTATCTCAACTTAGTCTCAACACATTGACAACACACTCATAGGAACAAATGTTGTTGCGTCAATAACACAGTGAGTAATATTCTCACAGAAGCAGTTGTTGTCAGTGCAGCAGCTCTGTCACCTACCACTAATGTCTTTAATGGCCATCGTGTGCTGAGTGATTCGTGTTCTGGGCTTCCCTCTAGTGAATATGAAACTAAGGTTGCTAGTTTTAATATGAGCTGTCTCACTGTCCTGTAGTATTGTGAGCTGGTGTTAGAAAACCAATACTTACGGCTTAAGGGGGGAAAAAATGAGAAATAAACCGCTAACAGAAATGCTAAATTCCTGTTTTTTCTGGTCAGGGGGGCTCAAACCAAGCATTGAATGCAAAAGACACTTTTACTGAAAACCCACTAATATGTAATATTGAATAATTTTACTTAATAAAAAAAATGATCAAGTAATTTTCAAAATTTACTTTTTTTAATTTAAGTTTTTTTGTACTTTTATATTTTAAATGAAAACTTGACGGTCATTCTGCGCTATTTTTCAGAAGTGTAATTACTGATATCAACCCTTGTGGTAAAGTCCTATTCCCATAGGAATACTGGTTATGATAAGATAGGGAAATTGACTTGTTTTCATAATGGAAAAAAACAAACAAAAACAAAATAGTGTAGCTCCCATTGAGTTGCACCAATGCAGGCCGTTATTCTGTAGGCAGATTTTTAGTCACCATTTTCTTGGTTAACCACAGTCATAAAGTCCCCCTTCTCATTTTTGCCAATAAGGCTCTGATTGACTCAGTTGTACTGGCAAACAAGGAGAAGTTGTTACTGAATGAGATGCTTGTTTGAATCACAGACAAATATGTGCGAAGTGAGGTTTGGAACAGAGTGCTTATATTGTTTAGTTTTTGGTATTATCTATTTTTTCCATTTAACTTCACGTTGCTTTTATTTCATTATCTCCTGAATCCAAGATGTCTGTCAACTTTTCTTTCTAATCCTGGTTTTTGATGTGTGATTCCATCAAAAAACATAAAAATGTAAAAAGGCATTATAATCAAGGTAGTACAATTCAATATTAATTCCCTGTTAATGTGGCATTTTCTTACTACTTATAGCAACAACAAGAACTGATTTTCAGTTCTTTTAAATAATAATTTTTTTTCTTTTTCTTTTTTTAACCAGGTCACTCTGATCGAGTCCTTCACTTGGCCTTAAACCCTGACAATTCTCAGATTTTCTCCACCGGTGCGGACCAGCGCTTTCACATCTGGGATTTGTAGTAACCAGCGTCATGGAACCGTGACATTCATATTGATAATAAAGTTCTTTAGCATCTGGTTAGAAATAGGTATACAATTGATTACCACACAAGTGCACATTGCTGCTTTCTTGGCAATTGTGTCATAGAGACCACACATTTCCCTCCCATGATGTCAACCACAATTCGAAGCCAGTTTACCACCAGCTCACACCTTTTGTCATGCATCGTGCATGCCGGTAGCACAGGTTTCCTGTTTTAATGGCTAGACGACATGAATCTTTTGTATAGTTATGATATGACAGATATGCCATACTGACTACTATCATATGAAAGGTAACAAAAGACAGACATGGGACATGTTTTAGTGTACACATATATGAAATAGCTCAGCACCAACAGTTGAAATCTGCTGCTGCTGACTTAAGGCTCATCAGCATTTATTTGTTCTGTATGTGAGTTCACTTTGAGTTTGTTGTGTTTTTATTTATATTACATTTTGATATGTCTTCATTGTAAATTTTGACTTCCTGAAATTTTTTTTAATTATATTTTGCACAATGAAATCAAATTTAGGAACCTAATAGTAGAATACACTCTGTAGCCTAAGGTAGCTTTTATTCTTGCCCCAATGATATGAAACATCCCTACTACCTATTTTACCTAGAAATAGAGTGAAAGCTTTGTGGTTTGTTTTAAAAGTTATGTGTTTAGTAGTTAAATCACTTAGACTTAAGTTAAATGTAAAATGAAGCAGAATAGATTTCTGCTTGAAAAGACTTTGTGTGTGAGCATATGCGCTGCAAAATTTGACTTGCAAGAGTGTGACCAGAGAAGATTTAAGAGAACAGTTTGTGCAAAAGCACTGTGGTGAAGACTTCCTTTATAAAAACAGAGCAAGACCCCCCCCTCTACATGAGTTATTTCTTATAGGTTATATGTTCACAGTCACACTGAGATGTCGGAGCAAACGTGCAATGACTGAGGTTGGTTTATATAGTCCCTGTAACCTCAGATGTCTGCAAAGTCTAGCCTACGCTGTTCCACTTTTGACTAAGATAAGGGTCAAGATGAATAATGTCAACACTCAACTGAAAGCAGCAACATGCCTCAAGTGCAGTCTGAAATGAAGCCCAGTCAGCAAAGAAACTGAAATTTTAAAAAAAGAACTGAGAAGAAATCTGCATAAGTTGTGTTTCTCTGTGAGCTTACTGCTTTACAAATATGCTGGCCTTTAATGCAAGGTCAAAGTCATGATGGCTCCACTCAGCTGAAACTGGCGGCACAAAAAGGGTCAACATATTCTGCGTCCCTTATGTAAAATGTTGTACACTGAAAGGAAGTAATTCCTAATTGACATACAGTGGCTTGCAAAAGTATTCGGCCCCCTTGAACTTTTCCACATTTTGTCACATTACAGCCACAAACATGAATCAATTTTACTGGAATTCCACGTGAAAGACCAACACAAAGTGGTGTACACGTGAGAAGTGGAACGAAAATCATACATGATTCCAAACATTTTTTACACATAAATAACTGAAAAGTGGGGTGTGCGTAATTATTCAGCCCCCTTTGGTCTGAGTGCAGTCAGTTGCCCATAGACATTGCCTGATGAGTGCTAATGACTAAAGAGAGTGCACCTGTGTGTAATCTAATGTCAGTACAAATACAGCTGCTCTGTGACGGCCTCAGAGGTTGTGTAAGAGAATATTGGGAGCAACAACACCATGAAGTCCAAAGAAAACACCAGACAGGTCAGGGATAAAGTTACTGAGAAATTTTAAGCAGGCTTAGGCTACAAGAAGATTTCCCAAGCCTTGAACATCCCACGGAGCACTGTTCAAGCGATCATTCAGAAATGGAAGGAGTATGGCACAACTGTAAACCTACCAAGACAAGGCCGTCCACCTAAACTCACAGGCCGAACAAGGAGAGCGCTGATCAGAAATGCAGCCAAGAGGCCCATGGTGACTTTGCACGAGCTGCAGAGATCTACAGCTCAGGTGGGGGAATCTGTCCATAGGACATATGTCTGTGAAGGTTCTCAGTCATCCAGGTCATCGTAGTCAAAGGAGCTTGCAAAGAAAAGCGTCTGGACTTCTTTAAGTTGCTTGAAGACGTTTCACCTCTCATCCGAGAAGCTTCCTCAGTTCTAAGGTCAAATGGTGGAGAGTCCCAGATATAAGCCTAGTGGGAGTGACCCCCCACAGAGGGACAAAAGGACCCCCTGATGATGTCAGGGGGTCCATAGGACAACTATTAGTTGTGCACTGCACAAAGTTGGCCTTTATGGAAGAGTGGCAAGAAGAAAGCCATTGTTAACAGAAAACCATAAGTCCCGTTTGCAGTTTGCCACAAGCCATGTGGGGGACACAGCAAACATGTGGAAGAAGGTGCTCTGGTCAGATGAGACCAAAATGGAACTTTTTGGCCAAAATGCAAAACGCTATGTGTGGTGGAAAACTAACACTGCACATCACTCTGAACACACCATCCCCACTGTCAAATATGGTGGTGGCAGCATCAGGCTCTGGGGGTGCTTCTCTTCAGCAGGGACAGGGAAGCTGGTCAGAGTTGATGGGAAGATGGATGGAGCCAAATACAGGGCAATCTTGGAAGAAAACCTCTTGGAGTCTGCAAAAGACTTGAGACTGGGGTGGAGGTTCACCTTCCAGCAGGACAACGACCCTAAACATAAAGCCCGGGCAACGATGGAATGGTTTAAAACAAAACATATCCATGTGTTAGAATGGCCCAGTCAACGTCCAGATCTAAATCCAATCGAGAATCTGTGGCAAGATCTGAAAACTGCTGTTCACAAACGCTGTCCATCTAATCTGACTGAGCTGGAGCTGTTTTGCAAAGAAGAATGGGCAAAGATTTCAGTCTCTAGATGTGCAAAGCTGGTAGAGACATTCCCTAAAAGACTGGCAGCTTTAATTGCAGCAAAAGGTGGTTCTACAAAGTATTGACTAAGGGGGCTGAATAATTACGCACACCCCACTTTTCAGTTATTTATTTGTAAAAAAAACGTTTGGAATCATGTATGATTTTCGTTCCACTTCTCACGTGTGCACCACTTTGTATTGGTCTTTCATGTGGAATTCCAGTAAAATTGATTCATGTTTGTGGCTGTAATGTGACAAAATGTGGAAAACTTCAAGGGGGCCGAATACTTTTGCAAGCCACTGTATCTATAGCTCAGGATACTCACTACAGTATCCACCACTCGGCAAGTGTGTGAATCTAGATGTGACTCAGGGGGACTGTTTACAATTCTAGTGTTTGCTTTATGTTACAAAAACTACTATGTCTGTGATGAAGTGCAAACATATGGGGGGAAAAATAGAAAACATTTTTTTTAACAAATTCCCATTGACTACAGTAGTGAATGTATACTTCAACCTTACGTCATTCTTAATTTTTTGCATAATTTTCCATATGGGTAATACAGAGACCTGACAGACAAGAGAGTCTGAAACCTGAATAACGTTGTTTGCTGTTCTGCAAATATTTAATCGGGCTCATATTTGAAAGTCAAAAAGTACACTAACTAACAAATTATCAACCAGGCTGTTCTAAAAATAGACTGCAGGGTGGAGCTAGTTACGCCGTATTTTTAACCCCCTTATAAAAGCTAGGCAGCTTTCTCCCAGTCTTCAGTTACAGTGGCATTGTTGAGCTTTTCCAGGCGCTTTTGTCTGCCAACAAGCACAATCTTCTGTTTTCCAGTAGAGATAAAAAAAATTCAAATAGCAGTTAGTAAGCAGATTGTAATGTTTAGGATATTTGATACTGGAAAGGTTTAGGAAAACAAACAATGTAAAGCAAATGCATTTAGATTTTAATATCTTGTGTAACTAATTCCTGAAAACGTCCTCATACAGGTAAGCACTGAGCTTTAGACACTCCCATTTTTTCACCTCTTGCATCACCCTGAGGCTTTAGCTGGCTTTATAAATTTACACACGAACAGAGTCCGGGGCAAATGAGAAGGAGAGAGTATGGGATGACTATAGGGAGCACTTGAGAAACACCAGACAGCTCATGGTCAGCTGTCTGATGGGAATGAAATAAAAACATATATATCACCTCCCAGAAAACTACACGGATTCTACTTTATGTCTGGCAATGAGACGGCAATTCTGCATCAGCTGGCGATTTTAGGTAACATTTTGCAAAACTTCTTTAACATGAGTCAAGCATGTTATCATTCCATGTTTCATTGTCCGTAAATGTCAAAATGAGTCTAGCATCTGATGCAATAAGCTTTTTATTAGTACTTATGTTCTGACTGCATACTCTAGCTGGTCAAAGGAGCTTGCAAAGAAAAGCGTCTGGAGTTACTTGAAGACGTTTCACCTCTCATCCAAGAAGCTTCTTCAGTTCTAAGGTCAAATGGTGGAGAGTCCCAGATATAAACCTAGTGGGAGTATCCCCCCACAGAGGAACAAAAGGACCCCCTGATGATCCTCTAATCCCCTGAGCCAAGGTGTGAAACTGGGTGTGGGTCCCAATCAGCCAGAGTTTCGGGTGAGTTCATTGTGAAACCTGGCCCCACTTTATCATGCGAATTCCTGAGATCAGATGGCCCAGGATGTGAGTGGGCGTTAAGGCGTCTGGGAAGGGATCTCAAAACTGGATTATAGATGGCAGAGAGTTGGTGTCGTAAACCACCGCCTCTGTTCAAAGATGGTCGCTCACAGTGGACATAGATGGCTTCTTTCACTCCTCTTTCAAACCATCTGTCCTCTCTGTCCAAAATGTGAACATTGGCATCCTCGAAAGAGTGTCCTTTATCCTTAAGATGCAGATGGACTGCTGAGTCTTGTCCTGTGGAGGTGGCTCTTCTGTGTTGTGCCATGCGCTTGTGAAGTGGCTGTTTGGTCTCTCCAATGTAGAGGTCTGGGCATTCCTCACTGCACTGTACAGCATACACCACATTGTTAAGTTTGTGTTTTGGCGTTTTGTCTTTCGGGTGAACCAGTTTTTGTCTGCGCGTGTTGCTGGGTCTGAAATACACTGGGATATCGTGCTTGGAGAAAACTCTCCTGAGTTTTTCTGATACACCGGCTACATAGGGGATGACAATGTTGTTGCGTCTGTCTTTTTTATCCTCCCTCGCTGGTGTCTGATCTTCTTTTCTGTGTCTCTTTGCTGACTTTAAGAACGCCCTTTTAGGATAGCCGCACGTTTTGAGTGGGACCCACACCCAGTTTCACACCTTGGCTCAGGGGATTAGAGGATCATCAGGGGGTCCTTTTGTCCCTCTGTGGGGGGATACTCCCACTAGGTTTATATCTGGGACTCTCCACCATTTGACCTTAGAACTGAAGAAGCTTCTTGGATGAGAGGTGAAACGTCTTCAAGTAACTTAAAGAAGTCCAGACGCTTTTCTTTGCAAGCTCCTTTGACTACGATGACCTGGATGACTGAGAACCTTTACAGACATACTCTAGCTGCTGTTAATGTTAGCTAAAATGTGACTGTTGAATGTTAGCTAAAATGTGACTTTAGCTGCTCACGAGGACAGATTATTAGAGGGAGAAGACCCTTGGCCCCCTGTTCCATGCGCTTCTACAATGACATACAAATGTAGTCTCAAATCTCTCAGTTGCATTTTCGTCTTTAAGGTTAATGTCTGTCTTTACAACTTGGGCATTTCTGTAGATTGAAAAATGGTGGCTATACTTCAGTATTTATTTAACACTTGTACACAGTTATTCTACTAAATACTGCAACACACTATTTAAATGTATATAATGAAAACATGTCTAATAGATTATAACACAATCAAACAACCAAACATAGCTATTGTTAACTACTCTGCCTTCATCTATGTTTTTTTTCCTTACGCAGTGGTATGTCATGGCTTAGCAGTGGGTCAGATCTCTTCTTATTACTTCCTAGTCCAAAGACCTATGCCATGGGTCAAAGCCCAGGAGTTCTGTCAGAAGTACTATGTGGACCTTGCTGTCCTGACCACAGAGGAGCAGTACTTCAGTGTCCTGAATGCTACTCCTGCCACAAAAGTCAGCTTTTGGCTTGGTCTGAAACGCCAGAGTGTCTCCAGTGACTGGCAGTGGGTGAATGGGGAACAACTGGGCTATGAACACTGGTACAGGAGAAACAATGAAGGCTGCTGTGCAAGTTTAGAGGCCATGCTGGAAAAAGACAAGAACCTGTTGGCTCGCTACTGTAAGGAACCACACATGGTTGTCTGTCAGGGTAAGTAATGCATTTTTTGCTCTTTTTGGAGTTAGAAACTGACAAATATAGTAACTACAAAGTCTAAATATGATACTCAATAAAGATGAGGCACACAACTAAAAAATGCAAACAGTCAGATTCACTGAAACACGATGCAGTGACTAAAAACCTGTTCTACCTGTCTAAGGTGAGTGTGTTGCCACAAGAAAATGATCCCATACTCTACTGGTTATGTTATGGTGCTTTGTTTATATCCTGCATCCACCTGCCTGTTATTATTTATAACAGATTAGTTAGGTAGCAGTTGAAAAAAATCATTATTAAAATAGTTTTGCTGGTTTAAACCTCTAAAGCAGGGCTCTAAAACTCACAGCCTGGGGACACTTGCAGCCCGTGTCACCCCTACTTGCGGCCCATATGTTGAGGTGAAGAAATATAATGCAATTTGGCCCTTGAAATTACTCTTTTTGTTAGGGAGGATTTCTTTCCTGTTGTTCCTTAAAAAGTTCATTAAAAAGCAAAAAAATATTTAATATGAAGGCAATATGAGCAGACAGTACAAACATGTTGGCTGCGTTAGTTCAGTGAGAAAGTTATTTGTAAAGAAAACATTTTTCACTGGCAGTAAAAAACGAATGTGTACACTTATGTCTGCATTTTTATTTTGTTAAATATGAACATAATGATTGCAAAAGTGCTGCAATGTGTCTGACCAGAAAGAGTGTACCAATTTATTTATTTGGTAGTTCAATGAAAAGCTTCAGTTAGTTAAGAGTGAGAAAAAAAATTGTTGTTATACAATATTTATACAATATTTGAAATAATACAATGAGATGACAGTGCCAGCAGTGGCCCGCAGCTCTCTGAAGTTGGAGATCCCTGCTCAAAAGCACAGTAACATGAGACAGTACCTCCAACCAATTTAGATAGATGAACTAGTCCACCGTAGTTCATGCTGGAGTTCATTTTTTAGTATTTTACCAGGATTCTCCTGTTCCTCCCCACAAAAGAGCAGATACTGCTTCTGCTGCTGGCCCCCTCACTGACCTATCTAGCTCTCCTCATATAATAACCCATCACCTGGTATTTAAATCTCTGTTTTCTCCATCATTTTTCATCAAACCTATCTGATAACATGTTATTTTTTATGATCCATACCTGAGCTCTTACTTGACTCTGACTGTTTTTCTTCCCACAGGTCCACATTCCCCTCAGTCGGTGACAGTGGACTCAGTGGGTGCGGAACATGTGAATCTTAGTTGGAATATCTCTGCCTTTATGCAGACGACACCACACAGTTACAATGTGACCATATGTGACAGCAGATGTGAGACAGTCTTTTACTCCTGCACCAATGGTTCTGCAGCGATGAGCATCAGCATCTCCAACTTAACATCAGGCACAAAGTATTTCCTACATATCTCTGCCTTTGTTGTTCGGCCTGACAGTGTTACTGGTGGAAACATCATCCTGCAGAGTAACCCTACAACAGTAGACGTTAAAACAGGTGAGGAAGTTCTTGTTTATTTTTGTGTCATGGCTTGCTTCCTAGATACTGTGTACAATAACTGACAACAACTTAAATTAAAATATTCTATTATATTCAGCCCATTTACTCATCATTGTAAACTGGTGCTTGCCTCCCTCTTTTGTATCTGTGTCTCTGTATCCTCTCTACTTCGGTAGATCACGATATCATCTTTGCTGTTTTGATGGTCATTAAACTGATGTTGCTTGCTCCTCCACTGTGGATTCTTTATCATATCCTTAAAAAAGGTAGGTCTTCTTTCTCCAGTAAAAAATCTATATATTTAAAAAAAATCTCCATAACATATAACATAATTTTTATTTTTATTTTTTAAACAGCAGGTCGTTTTGAAGAATCAAATCATTACATCTCTCCAGTGTTGCTCTCAACTGAAGACACAATTGTTGATCTGGTCCCTCAGAAAACTCCAGGCATTGGTTAAGACACGGAAAAAACATAGTCTAGACATTTGTAGAAAAATCTCTTCAAATGAAAAATGCCAACACAATGAATATAGAATACATGGAGACAGATTCATTTTTTAAATAAACTGCTTCTCATTTACAAATGAATCGTTAACCAGTGTGTAGAAAATACTACAGTTAAACCTTCTTTTTTGAAACATGGTATGACCAACTTTTCTAAAATACCTTTCGATTTTTATTAAATTTGATCCTAAATGAGTGACTAAGACCACGAACTCAACAGGATTGTGTTTTCCGTTGCCGTTTACCCACAGACTCATAGTACCGAAAGCCTTTACGCAGCCACAGATATTGCATTGTAGCGGCCCTTCACATAGGATGCAGGTTTAAGGCACTTTCACATTGGCTTCATCTTTATAAACAGACATCTACACTGTTGTTTTGTATTGTATGGTTGTACCATTGGTCATTCAGATTAGTGAGCACATGTGAAAATATGTGACCCTCAAAATTTAAAAAAGTAGTCCCTGGAGTATTTGTTAAAAGCATTTTATGCCTCTTTTTTTTTTTTTTTTTTTTTAACTAAAACTACCTGTTAGTCGTTTCCCACAAAATGTGTCATGCTGTAACTCATCACAGTCTGAGTTATGAAGTATTAGCACAAGTCAATGCAGTGAAGTGTCAGATGGACCACTGTAGTATCACTTTTTACCTCAAGATGAAACCGTCATTTGATTTTAATGAGCAGTAGGAAGAAATCACATATTATGTATTATGTTGTTTTGTTTTTCCACTTTTTCTTGATGTACTCACCTTTAGTTTATTTAAAAAAGCAAGAAAGTCAGTAAATGTGAAAAATGAGCGAAGAACAATATATTTCATCCAGTGCTGCTAGAAGTTATAAGTCATAAAAATATAAACTATTAAGAGGAACAAAAAGAAAAATTTAAACTGTAAAATTTAAAAAATGTTTATTGTTGTTATTCTTCACTTTTAGGATTTCTTTTTTCTTTTATATTTTTTAGTGTTTTTTGTTCATTTGTTTGTTTATTACAATATTTTTTTTATTACAGGGCCCATTGATATTGGACGAAATATTATAAAGCTTCTTTCAAAATGTACTTGTTGCTTTAAATTAGAATTAGACAAACATAACTTTTAGGGTCTTCTCAATAGTTTCAGATAGTGGCAGTGCATTTAATTGAATGTCATGACCCAAATGAAACATTAGCATTTCAAAGATGGAAAATAACATTACCAGTATTCTTGATTGAGAGTGAGATATTTTTCTTGAATCAAACATAGGTCAAAAAAGTAGTGATTACACAACCAAGCAATGTGTTTTACATAAAGACCTTGCTGATCTCATGGTTCTCAGGCCTTTAGGTGTATTTTTTAAGCTGCCTTTAGGATTTATGTAGCGTATCAGGAAACAAGTTTACAGTAACTGAATAGCATAGTATAAACAGTTGATTACTTACTATACTCTGCTGACAAGCTTATTTACAAAGAGTGGCATAGATACAAATATTCAATAAAGTTGTTGGTTTATTGATTATTTGCACACATTTAATGAAAAACAAAAAAAAAAGACTTTGGGATTGTACCAACTTGTTCTTTCTATAATTTCTATAATTTTTTATATTAATCTTGTTTGTTTTTTAATCCTGTTGTCTACTATTTATATTTGTTGGTATGGAGCACCTGTAATTTCGTTGTACATGTACAATGACAATAAAGGACTATTCTATTCCATTCTGTTCTTTTCTATTCCTGTTTCTACAGGAAAGTAAAAAGGTATGTAGCAGCCATGTGCTGCTAATGCACTTGATTAACTGATCATCAGCATGTGTGACCACCTATATAAAAGCACAGGTTTTGGCAGTTTGCTGGTCTGGAGCACTCAGGTGTCAGTGTTATAGAAAGGCATACTCTCCCCTGGAGTGTATGTCAAAGCAAATTCACCCTAAGGTCAAACCATGAAGTGCTAAGAGACATTGCAAAAACCCCAGAGCTACATCTCAGACTCTACAGGCCTCAGTTAGCATATTAAATGTTAAAGTTCATAATTGTACGATTATGAAAGTAGAATGTGAGCCAGATTTCTGGAACAGTGTTCTCTAACGCACAGTGCCACATTTGGAGAAAACCAAACTCAGTATATCAGCACAAACACCTCATACCGACTGTCAAACATTAAATAGTAGTGGAGCTTTGTTGACCTGAGTTTGTTTTGCAGTCACAGGATCTGGGGACCTTGCAGTCATTGATTTGACAATGAACTCATCTATATACAAAGTTAATGCAAAGTTAATGTGAGGCCATCTGTCTGACAGCTGAAGCTTGGCTGAAACTGGGCCCTGCAACAAGAGAAAGATGTCAGGCATACCAACAACAGCAGAATGGCTGAAAAAAAAAGGAATCAAGCTGCTACGGTCATCTAGTCAAAGTTTAGAGAAGAACAGTTGACCAACATTCTGCCACAAAAAGTGTTAAAGTAATACAGAATATGAGAGCTTTAACTTATTGCTGCCCAAGGTGGTTCCACAAGGTGTTAAATCAAGACCTATACTTACTTTTTGAAACCACTGCATAGTGTTCAGTGGAATAAATGCTACGCAGTGCTATGACTATGTTCCACCAACTTACCAACTCAGTCATTAATTTTGCTCAACTTCCAGTCTATGACTGGGCTAGACTGAGGGGAGAGGGGGGGGGGGGGGGGGGGGGGGGGGTGGCGGGTAGGTTTTCCTGTGGTTTTGTCTCAATTCACACAGAAAAAAAACTCAAAGTGAACCAAAACATGTCACTACAAACCACATGAGAACATTTAGTCTGCTTATTGGTCAGATGTGTCTGGGGCTGGAGCAACAGATGCAAATACAGAAAGAAGGTGCTCTCTTTATAGCATTGACTACGCTAGCTAGTCAATGCTATAAATTACTTGTATAGCTAGTTGCTATCCCACACTAACCATTTGGGTACTCTAAACATGAATGGTATTTTGCCACATCACAAAGGATACCTGGCTAGAGGACGATGTTTCCAACCTTGTTCACTCTAACTTCAGACTCCAAATAACTGAAAAGCCTACAGACTAAATACTAAGCTCCATACTTATTTTTAGAGAAGATTCCTTCGGGGTATATCTGTGGAGTCCCAGCTAACATACATGCTTCACTGACTCTCAGTGACACTAGCTGCCAGATGAAGCTGCTCCAAAGTCACATGTCTGATAAGAAAAACAGAAAAGAACCTTTACAGAGAAAAAAAAGTGACCATAGTGACCACTACCAGTCAAAGGTTTGGACGCACCTTCTTATTTGATGGTTTTCTTTATTTTCAAGACAATTTGCATTGCAGATTCTCACTGAAGCCATCAAATATATGAATAAAAATATATGGAATTATGAAGCACATATATGTAACTAAATATCTTGATGCATGCTCAATAATCCAGGTAAGTAAATCTCCAAAAGTTGATTCTGTTCATCTGGATGTAGCGTTTTGTGGGAGAAACGTTTCATCACTCATCCAAGTGACTTCTTCAGTCTCAGCTGACTGCAGGTTTCCCCAACCTTATAAACAATAGGCTGGGAGGTCAGTTCCTTAATCTTAATAATTCTAATTCTCATGACCATTGATCAACAACCACTGACCAAAGCCCACTGATCAAAGACCATGAGTACCATTCACAGAGAGTTGGTAAATGGCTGCAATCACAGCATTGTAAGATGGTGAAAGATGTAACCTCTGTAAAGGAAAAAGGGAAAGACGATCTCTGAGTCGAGGAGGGGGAACGCTAGTGTTACAGGAAGCCGGGATCCACACCAGCCACACCCAGCTGCTCACACGGACCATGACAGATGGGCTTTGTCAGGGTTCCTTTGTGGATTTGCTCAAATAGATACTAGGAAGCCGCTACTAAGGAAAAGCAACAAGCAGAATAGATTTGTTTGGGACAAGAAACATGAGGATTGGACGTTAGAGTGGAGAAAATCTGTGCTTTGGTCTGATTAGTCTAAATTTGAAATCTGTGGTTCCAGCCACCGTGTTTTTGTACGACGCAGAAACATGCATGATTCCCACCATGAAGCATGGAAGAAGAGGTGTGATGGTGCTTTGCTAGTGACACTGTTGGGGATTTATTGAAAATTGAAGACACACTGAGCCAGCATGGCTACCACAGCATCCTGCAGCGACACGACATCCCATCTGGTTTGCCTTCAGTTCGACCGTCATTTATTTTTCAACAGGCAATGACCCCAAACACACCTCCGGGCTGTCTAAGGGGTATTTGACCAAGAAGGAGAGTGATGGAGATCTGCACCAGATGACTTGGCCTCCACAGTTACCTGACCTAAACCCAATCGAGATGGTTTGGGATCTGATGAACCACAGAGTGAAGGCAAAAGGGCCAACAAATATTCGGCATCTCTGGGAACTCCTACAAAACTGTTGGAAAACCATTTCAGCTGACTCATTGAAGCTCATCGAGAGAATGCCAAGAGTGTACAAAGCAGTAATCAAATAAAAGAGTAGCTATTTTGAAGAATCTAAAATATAAATATGTTTTGAGTTATTTGTTTACTACAGAATGCCATATGAGTCTACAATGTAAATAGCTATGAAAAGAAAGAAAAATCATTAAATGAGACGGTGTGTCCAAACTTTTGACTGGTAGTGTAGTTCTTGTAAAGGACTTGTTCTTTCAACATGAATAATGTCTTCCTCCAACTGTTTCACACTAGTCCATGTATTGACACCTGCACCCACTGATGACTTGCACTGTGCCACACAGATCATGAGATTTACTTGTAAATCGGATCACTGGCTTTGAAATGAATGCATCCTCACCTCATGCTTGCGACCGCTTTTCATGACACATGAATTTCCATTTGTCAGACCACTTCCTCTGAGCTCACATAAAGGCGACTTTGTGCACCATAGTGTGTTTCAGTCTATTTAGATCAAAGCGAAACAAGAAGAAATGCTCTGCCTCAGGGGTTTCAGTGTTTTCCTCTCATGTGTTGTCCTTCTCATTGTTCAGTCAAGTGAGTTATTTCATCTGTTGTTCATTTGTTTATTTAATACTAATGAATTAATTGATGTAAATATGCCTAAATCATGGTAATGTTTCTGCTTGTTTCTTATGCTTTGTTTAGTGTTGTGCATGTAGATTGTGTGATCTAAATGTCTTTTAGTTTTACAAAGGAAGGTGTGAAGAGAATTTATCTGTTCATCTCAATGACCTCTTTGAATATTTGTCACTTTAGGTCGTGGTTCTGAGATCATTGGAGGTAATGAAGTGCAGCCACACTCGCTGCCTTACATGGCTCTGCTGGAGAGTGACAAACCGATATGTGGAGGGGTACTAATTGATCAAGCATGGGTCCTGACTGCTGCACACTGTCCTAGGTAGGAATCTTTCCCATTAACATTTGAAAATTGCAATCTTAATTCTTGTTGGCTCTTGCAAAGATGTTGCACTATGATTATTCAAAATGCCATGCTAGTCAGTAACATTTCCTCTTTATGATGCTCCACTCAGCATTCATTATAGCAGCTATAATCTGGCAGATAGTGACTAAAGAAACCACAAGAGCTCAGGGGTTTGAACACTTCTTTACAAGGAACAAGTGCTGCTCTGCATCACTGTTACCATATTTGTCACTTTCTTAATCAATAAACCTATTCCATAACTGAACTGTAATTTAACACTGCACCGTTTTTGCTCTTACAGCATTAAGAAGGTGTTGCTGGGGGTGCACTCCATCAAAGCAGATGAAAAAGATTTCCGACAGGTCCGAAAGGTGAAAAAAAGTTTGCCTCATCCCTGCTATGATGGCACGGACAAGGTCAATGACCTCATGTTACTCAAGGTAATGTGACTACAAAAGAATGGAAAAGTGATCCAAGATTGCTGATAATTATATTTAGAGGAATTTATAGAAAATTTGTTTTTGTTGAATTTTCTCAAAGTCAAAATTATACATATAAGCTCAAATATATACATGCACTCTCTCAAATATGATAAATGTGTGTGTTTTGTTGTTTGTTTTTACTAAAAGCAATGATGAACCCATTATGGTTAAATAAGTATTATTTAAATTTCAGCTGGACAAGAAAGTGAAAAAAACCAAAGCTGTAAACTGGCTCACGCTGCCCAAAACCAGTAAGGAGCCGAAAGCTGGCAGCGTCTGTGTGGTGGCTGGATGGGGAACTACTAAAAACAATGTCAATCGAATGTCAGATGTCCTGAGGTCTGTCAATGTTACAGTGATTGACAGAGTGATGTGCAACTCAGCTGATTATTACAGCCTCAATCCTGTTATCACCAGCAGCATGATATGTGCTGGTTCGAATGGTAGAAACACAGCTGATACCTGTCAGGTATGTACGCCTCACCGTCCACTTCGCTACTTGAACCGTAAACGAGTCGAAAAATAAATGAAAAAATGAACCTCATATTATTGCTCTCTTTGCAGGGGGATTCAGGAGGACCTCTCATGTGCAATGGTGTGCTAGCTGGAATCACTTCCTTTGGACGGATGTGCGGTCTCATTAAAAAACCCGGAGTTTACTCTTTTCTGTCAGAAAAACAACTCAAGTGGATCAAAAATACAATGAAGGGATCTAAAATAGAATGAGTTCTCTGAATCATTCCTGCTTCCATCTTTAAATTAAAGAGGGATACTAAGTTCAGTTGTGTTATTTTGCCACCACGAGTCTACATTTATATCTGTCTATATTTATGATTTTAGGGATGATGTTAAAGCAGAGTGTTACTGAACGTTTGTTGTAAATCAGTGGTTGTCAACCTGTAGAAATATGGTGTGAAATTCAGTTGACTGATAGAAGTGTACTTTTCTGTAATGTACTTTTGTTTTGCATTAGTAACCAATGGTCTGGGTTACTAAATGTAGAAAAAGCAAGCACACCAAGAATCAGATGCCATATTGAGATAAGAGTGTCTAGATAAATGTCTTGCAAAGACAAAGTTATGTCCTGTTTATGTACTTTATGGTTAAATGTATTTCTGTTTTTATATTACTGTGAAGCACTATGTGGTTTTTACCCTGTGAAGAGTGCTATATAAATAAATTGAATTGAATTGAATGATGGTGGTTAGGATTATCCATGATGCATTATAATTTGTTTAGTGACCTGACCTAAGTTTGCAGCTATTTTGAGCTACTACAACTTAATACACAGTAAAAAACAAACAAACCACTAAATCAAAAGTTGAAATGAAGCTGAAAATGATGAATATTCCACAATCACGAATTGAAAAAGTTAACAGTAAATATATGTTAACTTTTTTTATTATACTTCTTGTCTGTCAGCAGTTAAATATATATATATTAATTTAAGAAGACACAGAACAACCACTTCAGTTAGTGTCTACTCTTTTTTGTCAGAAAAACAACTCAACTGAATCATGAATAAATTAAGCAAACTGAAATTTCATGACTCCAGAGGCATCAACATGATAAACAAGATGGAAATCTTTGACGTCTTGTTGTCATTGCGGTCTCTGTCGGGTCCTCTATCAGAGGCCTGGGAGCTTGAGGGTCCTACGCTGTATCAAAGCTGTTCCTAGGACTGCGCTCTTCTGGACAGAGATCTCCGATGTTGTTCCTGGGATCTGCTGTAGCCACTCGCCTAGCTTAAGAGTCACCGCACCTAGTGCTCTGATTAATACTGGGACCACTGTTACTCTCTCCCTCCACATCTTCTGCAGCTCTCCTCTGAGCCCTTGATACTTCTCAAGCTTCTCGCGTTCCTTCTTGTACACACATGTGATCGTAGTTCTGCTGTGGCTAGCCATTTCCACTGCAGGAATTGAAGTCAGATGAGTCAAATATTTGCCTTTGTGGCCGTTCTGTTTACCAAAAATGGACACAGCCACTGTGATAGGTGATGGATTACAATTTAATATTTTAGATGCTGTCACTGCAGATTGCACATATAGGTTGACATGTTAGCTTTGAGACATGAAAAGCCAGACCTATATTCTTTCTATTGGCCAACAGAGAATTACTCCTTTGGAAAAAACAAACAAACAATCACCTAGTTCCTGCAGTGGAAAATGACATATTTACTCCTTTTCCCCTCATTTTTTCTTTTTTGTGAACAAAGATGTTTGTTAATTTAAAAAAAATATTTTCTCTTTTTGCAAATTACATAAAATGCCAAGAGAAATATAAGTGCTCCTGTTTGCTTCGGTCAATCACATTTGCTGGAAACACATGAGATAAAACACATTTTTTGTGGACACACAAACCCCATGAAAGTAAAACAACAAAGTGAGATTATTCAACCTGTCAGCCAGAAAGATTCACCACTTTCCGTATTACAAGCCTTAAAAAAGAGAAGGCTGTGAACAACTTTTTCTTGCACATACTGTCTTCTCATTCTGAGTAGTATTAATTACAGTAATGTCAACATAGAAAACATCCACTTTATGACTATACATTCAATTAAGTAATTAATTATTAATAATTTGAAAATAATCAGTTCCTTCTTCTTTTGGGCACTACCTTTGAGATGTTTCCTTCAGGATGTATCTGTGGACTGTCTGCTGACAGACATGCCTCATTGTCTCTTACTGGCACTAGTTGACAGGTGAAGCTGCTTCAAAGCTACATGTCTGATAAGGAAATAATCTCTACACCAACTGTAAAGTTATTATAAAGTGCTTTTTCTTTTAACATCAATACACTCTTCTAGCTTTTTTCATACAAGTAGATTTATGGACACGTACACTCAAGGATGACTCATTGTACACCAGACAGAACAAACCTCAGCAACGACATAGAAAAAAGACATGGTTACTGAATGAATACTTGTAAATGCTACCACTATCTTTGAAACAAATGCATTCCCACGCCTTGCTTGAGCCCATTATGCTGAATTTTCAGACCACTTCCTTTAGGCTTGATACATAAAGACGAGTGCGCACCAGTGTGTGTTTTAGTCAAAGCCAAATAAGAAGAAATGTACTGCTTCGGATTTTTCAGTGTCTTGATCTCATGTGTCGTTCTTCTCATTGTTCAGTCAAGTGAGTCATTTCTTCTGCTTTTGATTTATTTAGTGGTTAATTAATGTACATATGTCTAAGTCGTAGTAATGTTTTTCAGCAAATTTGTTATGGTTTCTTAGTTGGAGTGTAATTTCACTTTTCCTGATCACTCCTACATGGATTTTAAAGGTTTCATAAATGTTAGAATTTGTATTTGGATGTGCTTCAGGTATTTTGTGTATAGATTCTGTGATCTGTGTCACATAGATGTCTTATAGGCTTACAAAGTAAGTTGTGCAGAGAGTTTTCTGTCTTTGGTTTAAGCGCTTGTCGACTCATTTGTCTTGATCTCTTTGAATATTTGTCATTTTAGGTGATGGTTCTGAGATTATTGGAGGCAATGAAGTCAAGCCACACTCACTGCCTTTCATGGCTCTGCTTGAGGGTAACGAGGGCAATTGTGGAGGGATACTAATTGATGAAGCATGGGTCCTGACTGCTGCTCACTGTGATAAGTAGGAATCTGAAGCATTTGTTTATGTTTTTACTGGATCACAAAAAAATCCATGTCATCATGGGTATTGAAAATATCATACAAGTCAACATGTTTAAGCTTCATGATACTCCAATCAGCTACATGCCACATCGTGACCTTAGTAAATTTTTTTTTATCATGTAACCACTCAGTAATCAGAGAGAAAGCAAATCTTCATTTCTTCTCTATTTGACACTTTCTTGGCCAGTAAACCTATGCCATAATTGAACTTTAATTTAACACTGCATTGTTTTGGCTCTTTTAGAATTAAGAATGTGTTGCTGGGAGTGCACTCCATCAGGAGAGATAAAAAAAAGCAGATCCAAAAGGTGAAAAAAAGTTTTCCTCATCCCTGTTTTGATGCAAAAGACAGGGTCAATGACCTCATGTTACTCAAGGTAAGGTGACTATAACAGAATGGAAAAACGATCCTTAGCGATTTCTATAAAAGTTATGTTTGCTGACATTACATAATACATGTTAAGCAAGAAAAGCAAATGTTTATTCAAGATAAACACAACTGCAAAGCCAGGCTGTCACTTATGATTATTTAACTTCAGATGTAAAATAAGGTCTTTCTCATCTTCCCATCTGTTCAAAATTCAACAGCTCAAATTCCACCTGAGACCAGAAAGAGAAAGATGCTTTTCTGCAAAATTTAGATAATTTTTCTTTTTTCATTTAATGTTTGTACGACAGAGCATCAGGGCCGCATTAAGAACAAAAGTATTACTAATCATTTTGAGAATAAAGTGGAAACTTCAAGATAATCTTTAAATCTTGAAACTGTTTTTCAAGAAAAGAGTGGGAAAGTGGAGATTACAGTTGTTGTGTCAAGACACATTGCCACATTTGTCATGCCCTCTTGGAAGAGTGGATTTTGTATAGGATATAACAGTAAGTGTAAGCTGCACAATCCTGAAAACTTCTGGTATTTTGAATTTTTTGTTCAAAATAGAATTACGACTTTAGTCTCTCAATTTTGATTGTGATTAAAGACTGACTTCATGTTGAGTCGGCTTAAGTAGTTTCATTTAAAATAAATGTGTTTTTTTTTAATTGTTTTTATTTTATCTTATTTATTTATTGTAAAAATTCTATTAAGGCAATGATGAATTCATTATGCTTAAGTAATTATATCTTAAATTTTAGCTTAACAAAAAAGTGAAGAAAACCGAGACGGTTAATTGGCTCAAGTTGGGCAACGCTGTCAAAGATCCTGCAGCTGGAAGCATCTGTGTGGTGGCTGGATGGGGAGCAACTAAAAGCAAAGCCGAGCAAATGTCAGATGTCCTGAGGTCTGTCAATGTGACAGTGATTAACAGAGTGAAGTGCAACTCACGTGCCTATTACAACCTCGACCCTGTTATCACCAGCAGCATGATATGTGCTGGATCAGAGACAGCAGATACCTGTCAGGTATGTATGCTTGATAGTCATTTTTACCACTTTAACTGTTAATGATCAGAAAAAATAAACTACTAAATAAATTCAAGTCTATTTCATTCTATTTATATCACAACAACAGTTGTCTTAAAGCATTGTAAGGTAAAGACTGTACAATAATACAGAGAAAACACCAACAATCAGAAGACCCCCTTTGAACAAGTACTTTGGAGACAGTGGGAAGGAAAAGCTGCCTTTTAACAGGAAGAAACCTCCAGCACAGCCAGGTTCAGGAGGGGCAGCCATTTGCCTCGACCAATGGGAGGTAGAGGGAGGAGGACAGGAAAAAGACATGCTGTTGACGAGATTATTATGGGCAGAGATTATTAATATTTTATAATTAAATGCAGAGTGATGTATAAACACACAGTGAATGAAGAAACACTCAGTGACCATCATATTATAATTTTCTCTACAGGGAGATTCAGGAGGACCGCTGTTGTGCAGTGGTGTGTTGACAGGAATCACTTCCTTTGGACCTAAGGAGTGTGGTAACAAAACACACCCTGGAGTGTATGCTTTTCTCTCAGATAAACAACTCCAGTGGATCAAAAAAACTATGACTCAAAATTAGATCTCTCTCTGAGTCTTTTTCCTTCTTAAACCTTTACTATCTGTTAAACATTTGTTTTTGTTGCATAAATTTAAATACAAATTTTTGTCACCAATGGTCTGCATTTATATGAGTCTATATTTTGAGGTTTAAAGGATTTTGTTAAAGCAGATAAGATTTCTCTAAGAGTCTTACTGGACATGAGTGTTCTCAAACAGTGGAGCAGGCCCCACTGATGGGGCACAACGGGAAAATATCGGGTGAAATTAAGTTGAATCAGTATGACTGGAAAGCTGTATTTTTGCTATAAAATTCAGCATTTTTTGAATATCTGCCAAAAACTAGTGGTCTAAACGTTTTTAAAAAATAGTAAAAGAAAGAAATGGGATTGAAATGAACTCAAATAAAGCTGCTGAAAATGAGAAGTGCATGATTCTTTGCTAGATGTGCATGTTTTGAAGACAAAGGTATGTCATGTGATATGAAAGATTTCCTCTTTCTATCCTCGAGTGCCTGTCCAATAAATGGGGGTCTAATGATAGTGGTCAGGATCACCCACCATGACGGTTTGTGCTGTGACCGCACCTCAGCTTCAAAAAAGTGACGTTTGCACGCATTTATATGAATGGTGATATGTCACCACATGGTCCCGCACTTTATTCACTGTCATCTTGGAAAGTGTCAATAGAATTACAGTCTCGTCCTCTTCACCATTTAGCCATCTAGGCGAGCAAGTGTAACTGGAGTTAATTTTTTTTTCTAGACCATCAAACACAAATTCAAATAGTCTATGTGCACTTGCCTGTTTAGAAAACAAGAATAAACGAACTGTGCATAAGTCCAGCATGTATATGACCGGTGACCGGCCATATTTGTCATATTGTTGCCAAATTTGCAAGTGATGTGTCAAATATGATTGTCAGTCTTGGTATATATTAACATATAAAATTAAACTTTAGTAAACAATTAAAACACTGCTGCCTGAAAAACCTTGACCACTGGATCCACCATAGAGGGTTCATTTTGTGTCATTGCACCCGTTGAGTTTATGATAGACACAAATATTTGTTAAATTTGTGACCCTTACCAAGTACCTCTCTTTACTATAATTCGTTGTATTACTTGAGTAATTCTGATAACACGATCCAAAATTAGCATTTGTTCAGTTTCACCAGGAAGATGAAAGTTTTGTGTTGACCATTAACCCTGTAAGACTCATCCCATTCAACCCCAACCCATTTTTGGGGGGAACTTAGATGTTTATTAACCCTTATAACAAAATACACTTTTTTTTTTTTTGCTATATCATGTTGTTCATGACATATTTTTATTATATATTTATAATATTTTTTTTTGTGTCGCATTTGATACATTGGGCTTTTTTTTTCAACGTTTTGTTAACAACAATGTTAATATTTTGTCCATAACATTTTGAAATTATGACAAGTATTGATCATATTGATGAGATAGAAGTCTCAGAAACTCAGGTATCAAATATGATACAAAGGGCTTTATAGGGTTAATGTAAACAGATTACCAAGTGCAGAATGTGCATGGATTGAAGAGATGTAGCATTTCAACAGTAAATTTTAATAAACCTGTGCATTGTGAACAGATTTAGTGCTCATTTCAACTGTCAAATGTACGAATATACAGTGAGTAAAATAAGTACTGAATATCTCCCCAATTTCCTAAAAAAAGGCGCATATGAATATGAAATTCTCGCCAGATATCAGTAAAAATCCATCCAGTCCACACATGCAAATAAATCAAACCATAGAAGTCCATATGTTTTATGTAATAATGAGAATGGACACAGGACACAGAATGTCAGTCTGCCCCAGGGAAGCTGTGGCTACAACTGTAGCTTGCCTCCACCAGTGTGTGAATGTGAGAGTGAATGAATAGTGGCATTGTAAAGCGCTTTGAGGCCCCCGAAAAGCGCTATATAAATGCAATCCATTATTTTATTATTACAGGGTGAAAAAGGATTGAGCATGTAAAGAAAGGGCAAATTCAGCTGGGTAAGTCCCAACTGATGGCCTGTACAAAAGGAGGCTCATTAGCAAGGTGTCACAGAAGAAACATGTCATGATGGATAAAATCAGTGGCCTTTGCAAACTTATTGTTGCAAAACATACTGATGACACTGGTTACAGTAGAACGTCTGAACTACTGAAGGTTTCAGTGAGCACTGCTGGGGCCATAATCTGGAAGTGGAAATGAAACAACATAATTTCACATCAACCACGACCAGATGCTCCCCACAAGAGTTCAGACATAGGACTGAGCCAAGAGCCAAGAACCAATTGTGGACAGCTACAGAAAGACCTGGAATCTGTAGTTAGAATTGTTTGAAAGAAAAACAAAAAGTAATGCACTCAACCGCCATGACCTATGTACACGCTCACCATGTAAGACTCCATTGAAGAGTAAATGTTATAAGAAGGCAACAAGTACTGAATGGAGTGAAAGTGGGACTTCTTGTCATGCTGTTGGAATGAGCACGAGGAGAGGTTACTGTAGGCAGGCAGGCAAAGTCTGTGGAACAGCAGAGAGCAGGTGAGTGACATCCAAAGCAGTCAAGTGACTGGAGTGAAGACGCAGGAGCAAGTGTTTGTCGGTGCTCACTTTTTCTGGAGGTAAAGATTTGGAATTATATTTATGTTAAAAGTTCTGTATGAAAAAAATCAAAATAACAAGCAAATTATTTAGTTTTTACAAACACTAGTATTCATTGATACTTTACACAATTCCTTGTGCAGAAATTCAAAAATCCATATGTGAAGAGTTCAGCAGCCACGGCCACAAAGAAGCCATTGCGCACACCAGAGTGTGTGCTTTGGAAGCGCTGCAGAAGATTTCCTTGAAACTGAAATCAACTGACTATTGACTGTTTGGGGGGTAGAGCATAAACAAAATGGGGTCCTAATGTGATTGGTCGCTTTGATTGACAATTCAGGTTACTGCATTAAACTGAATTATACTTTGGCACCAATATAAGTGCCTTTTTAACTTGGAGCTATATAAATAAAATTAAATTGAATTCAGTTAATCCATTCTTGACTTTTAATAAAAACCTTAAAACTACAATGGAAGTTCAATTTAATCCCCTCTCTCATATAGAAACTACAGAAAATTGTTATTATTTGTGATAAATCTGACCACTTGCTTTGAAACAATATCACCAGTTCATCAGCTGGCATGTGTCAGTTTTGCTGACTCATTATTTTCCATGATCAAACCACATCCTTCGAACTCAGCGTATAAAGCTATGCATCAAAGTAAATTTCATGGCATTCGGCATCTAATCAAAGAGGGGTAAGACAAAATGTTCTGCCTGAAGAATTTCAGTCTTTTAATCTCATGTTTGATTTTCTTCATCATCCAGTCAAGTGAGTAATATTTTCTATTGCACATTCATTCAGTACACAGAATGCAAGGGCATTACTTTCAGTATTACAAAGCCGCTGGCATTTCTTGTGTTTTACTCATCTGTTCCTTCTTTCATTTTTAAGTTCTTGACTTGATTATCTTGTGATTTAGATATTTAAGTGAATATTTTCTTTTAATTTTAGGTCATGGTTCTGAGATTATTGGAGGGAAGGAAGTCAGGCCACACTCCCTGAGTTTCATGGCTTACTTGAAAAGTAAAAAGTCTTTCTGTGGGGGGATATTAATCCATCCACAATGGGTCCTGACTGCTGCCCACTGCACTAAGTACAGACTTACTCTTCTGACATCAAATCAAAATATCTTAATATTTTTAACAGACTGTGAAAAATAACACATTGTGTGTTTTTTTAATACATTTTTATAATATATACATAATAATATAAAATAATATATACATATAACATATGTCTACATATAAAATACTGTCAGTAATCCTTTCACTGATACTGTGAGTACAAATATGCTAAAACTTCACATCTTCAGTGTAAATAATTTACATAATTACTTATCATGTTAATAGTAGGCACAATCAAATCAGCATCTCCTTAAAAATGTATTTGAATAAACTCATGGCGGAAGCGACCACATTTCAGTGTTGCTTTTATTACTCTCGGTTGCTGTCACTTTTCACACCCTGCTTCAGTTTTTCACCTCGCAGTTGCTCACTTCCCCTACAACAACTAAGAAAGGACCTAGTTCACCCTTTTAACCCTTTACAGCCGATCGGAGCGGGCACGCTCTGTTTTGCGTAACTATTTTTAAATCCCGGTAGCTCTGCAACCAAGTAAGCTAGCGCAATAATTTTTTTTGCATATGAAACCGGAGGAGTTGTACTTACATCTTATGCCATCAGCTTGTGCTAGGTCACAGTTTCCTTCCACATATAGCTTTGCAAAAACTGCATAAAAATCACTTGCAGCAACAAAAACATGATATTCCAGAAACACGCTTCGCCGATCCATCAGCTGTTTGTAACACTTCCTACGTCCATCAGCGCGAACTATCACATGACCGCATGACCTGCCCGAAACCGGAAGTGACGTTATTTTGCGGAAATGTAGTTTTTTACGATCGGGGCCTTATGAGCTTGTGTTTTACTTGTTATATGTTTTAAAAAGTTATGTTTGACTTTATGACTTTCTGTGTCGTTTCTGGGATGCTTAAGACTCATATTGCACTGCTGGAAATAGTTTATTTTGATGCATATGCTGTTATTTTGCAAATTTGCACTATAATATTTATTTTCGTTTTTCCTGCAGTATATAAAAATTGGTGTATTTCAAAAATAAAACTATGAAGACACTCAAAATAAATTTCCTGTGGTGGGAAACTAGTTTGTGTAACTTTTTTGTATTTACAGTTTTGAGGGATAAGCCTCTTAAATTTCTCTAACTAGAAATATATGTTAAAAAAACAAAAACGATTTTCAATTTTTTTGTAGTTTATTGCACTTTTTTGCAATTTATGTAATTACTATGCACCTAATGCAGACATATTATTAAAGTTTGGGCTATAATGGTTGTATTGATGTATAGCAACTTGAAATGCTCCCAAAAATGGCTCCACAGCATGTAAAAATATAATATAAGCTCAGGCGAACTTGGTTCTATGGTAGGTCTTAAAGGGTTAAAGCAGGCGCAGCGTGATCGCTGATGACGCTCAGGTGCGTCCACCTCGCCCCACTACAGCATTGCTTTTAAAAATCCCTCAGATTTTTCTGCCGTTTTTAAGGACAAGCGTCAGCTCTCAGGAAAAAAGCCTGTAAGACACGAGTATGTTTGACTGCTTTGCACATTAATGAAAATAGAGGTTGATAACGTTCCAAAAAATGACAATAGACAAAATCTGTTCATATTCTAACCCTCATCACCCTACACCCATGAAAGTAATTTTTCAGTAAAACCCATAACGCAACCACCTCTAATAATATGCATATAACAAAATATAGAGTTAATTTATCTTATCGTAGTCCTCCCCTATGAAGCTTTTATATATGTTAACTTTACTCTGTATTTTTTTCTTTTACAGTATTAGTGAGGTGATCCTGGGAGCACACTCCATCAAGAAAGAGGAAAAAGATTCGAAACAATTCCGAGAGGTTAAGAAACAATTTCCTCATCCTGACTTTTGTAATATATTAAAGGGCAATGACCTCATGTTGCTCAAGGTAAGGTCAATATTCACTGTACAATTCACAATACTAAATGAAGCAAAGACGCAACCCTGTAATTTAAACGCTTTTTCAAGAAAACCCACTTAGAGGAATTTGTTTAAAATGGGGCAGTAAATTAAAGTGCACAATTTTTTTAGAGCTTTTAATCACATGAGATTTGATTTAGTATTACATGTTTTTTATGTTACATAAAACATTTCTATTTTTGAAAAGACAATTGAAATATGTAACAATATGAATAATATGAAATGTTAGGCAGCTCAGGACCTAACATTTACTTTTCTTCTTTTCTTTACTTACTCTTCTTACATAGTTGAAACATGTTTTTAAAGTCAAAACATTGTAAGCTAGTACTGACCAATGAGTAATAACTGACTGTTAAAAATTAGCAATCTGTTTATTAACTGACTCTCATTTGGTGTTGGCTCGCTGCAGTCCAGTATCACGACACTACACTCACTGTTGAAATTACCAGCTAATTATATTTAAAGTATTGATTAATTTAATCTTTAGGGATTTTCTATCTTAGCTCTCAGCCATGTTGCTATAGCATCATGCTTTATCCCCTGTTCCTCTGGCACTTTCCTGCTTAGTGTGCCACACTACTAGTTTTAGTAATAATGACACTTGTAGGAAGCTTAACCTAGTTTGGGGGTGAGCTGCTCCAAGTGCTCCAATTACCTCATGGACAACTTTTGAATCAACCTCCACATCTTCTGTAGTTCCTCTCTCGGCCCTTGGTATTTCCCAAGCTTCCCATGTTCCTTCTTCCTGATGTTGCTATCACTTGATATAGCTACATGTATTACTACAGCCTTCTTTCTTTACTTAGTTCCACAGGATCTTAGCTTGGTCATTCTTAACCACCCTAGAGGGTGTATTCCATTTTGACCTTGGGACATCCAGGCCATACTCAGCACAAATATTCCTGTATATTAAGCCAGCGGCTTAGTTCCATGGGCGTTCCATGTATGCACCCTGCTGTTATGTTCTGCCTTATTTACTTACTTTATAACTATATAAACATAATACATAGATAATCATTATCAATATGTAAAGCTTCTTTTTTTCAGCTTAACAATCCAGTGATGGAAACCAAAACAGTGACATTTCTCAAGCTGGGCAAAACTCTCAAAGACCCTGCAGCTGGCAGCAACTGTCTGGTGGCTGGATGGGGAAAAACTGAAAAGAAGAATAGGTCGGATGTCTTGTTGTCTGTCAATGTGACTGTGATTGACAGAAAGAAGTGCAACTCTCGTGGTTATTACAACCGCAACCCTGTTATTACTAGTGACATGATATGTGCTGGTTCAAATGGAAACGCTAAGGCTAGTACATGTAATGTAAGTATATATTAGTAAGTTGCTTTGTAATATGAAATTGTAAATTGCAATAAAGCGCAAGACCTTTTTGGCTTTTTTAAATCTCCAGAATAGTTAAAACACCCCCCAAAAATGTCAAACATTTGTTCTTGCTGCAGGGGGATTCAGGAGGGCCACTGCTGTGCAATAAAGAGCTGGTTGGAGTCACTTCTTTTGGACCTGTAGTGTGTGGCGAGATAAATGAGCCTGCAGTCTTCTCATTTCTCTCCAAAAAACAACTCAAGTGGATCAAAAAAACAACTAAGTCATCTGAATTTTAAGGAATCCACAGGAATCAGTCCACATAATTTAATGAACACGAGCATCTTTGTAATCTTTCTTGTTAAATCTGTTACTGCTGTTCCTATAGACCACTGACTTGAGCATTATTAATATTATCATTTCATTCTTTTACATTTTTATTTTTGATCTCTGCACATATATGACAGATCCTTATTATTGTTAGTCCTTATCATTGCACAAACTTTTCCTTTTCTTTGTTTTTCAATCCCCAAGTAACCCCAAGAATATGAGTACTCCTGTTTGCTGCATTTGAAGGCTACCTCTGCAATAAAAGCATACAAAGGTTTTTTTTTTTGTTTTGTTTTTTTAATGTACATACAAAACTCATGAAAGTAAAACAACAAAGTGAAATTATTCAGCCTGCCAGTGAGAAAGATTCACCAGCTCCTGCTTTATATACTGAAACTGAAACTGAGGCTTGTGAACTGATTTTGTTTTGATGTAGATAAATTACTGAGCATGCTTTCTTATTTGTTCATTTTTCATCCTGATTACTTGTGCTCAGAAACCACTGACCAATCTTTTTCCACACGTTACTTTTTTATTTTACTTTTAGATAATTCAGTCCTGGGCCACTCCTCCTGTTACAGAGCTGTGGTTATATGGTTATATAAAACTGCTTGATAAGCTAAAACAAAACTAAAAAATTGAGTAACCTTGTAAAGTAGCTGGGATAGGCTCCAGCCACCCCGCAACCCTGACACGGATAAGTGGAAGAGAATGGATGGATGGATGGACCTTGTAATGTTGAAGGGAAAAGGCAACCATATCTATGAAATTCCATGCCTTTTATTTGAGCTCTATTGTATTGAGGGGCGATCGTGGCTCAAGAGTTGGGAGTTCGTCTTGTAATCGGAAGGTTGCCGGTTCGAGCCTCGGCTTGGACAGTCTCGGTTGTGTCCTTGGGCAAGACACTTCACCCGTTGCCTACTGGTTGCCTCAGAGGGCCCGTGGAGCCAGTGTCCGGCAGCCTCGCCTCTGTCAGTGCGCCCCAGGGCAGCTGTGGCTACAATGTAGCTTGCCGTCACCAGTGTGTGAATGTGTGCGTAAAAGCGTTTTGGGGTCCTTAGGGACTAGTAAAGCGCTATACAAATACAGACCATTTACCATATTGTAATTCATCCACAGGGATAATTTGCTGGACAGTGTGTGTGATAACGTCATGTAGAAGAAGAAGGACTTGGTACATCATGCTCCACAAAACAATAGTAACCAGCTACAGTGTATCCGAAAAGCATTCACAGTGCTTCACTTGTTCCACATTTTGGCTACGTTCACACTGCAGGTCTTAATGCTCAATTCCGATTTTTTGATCAAATCCGATCTTTTTGTCTGGTTGTTCACACTACAAATAAAATGTGACAGCAAACGCACTCTAGTGTGAACGTTCACGGCCCTCAAAGCGGCCCGCATGCACAAAAGAAGACGTCACACACAACACGCTCTGTTTACGAAAGTAAAAATGGCGGCTACAGAGCTAGTAGGTGTTGTTGCAGCAGTCTATCAATTTCTGCACAGTCGTAACCGACAGAATTTTGACAAATTAATTAGAGAAAGAAGGACACTGAGAAAAAAGAGAGCCCGTGCTTTAACAATGGCCGCCATGCTTTCTTGTTTGTCTTCTCCAGTGCTGATAATTGGTGTCTGTCTTGTGTCAGTGACGTAAAAGACCGATTTAATGTGATATGACCATTCAAACAGCAGTCGCGTTCTAAAACATCAGATATTTATCGGATTCAGTACCACGTACCGAAGTGACCTAGGTCGGATTTGAAAATATCGGATTTGTGCTGTTCAAACTGTCATACCAAAAAAGTCAGATTTGATGCTCTTTCGCCTGCAGTGTGAACGTAGCCTTTGTCATGTTAGAGCCTTATTCCAAAATGGATCAAATTCATTTTTTCCCAGAATTCTACACACAGTATTTCATCATGAAAAAGGGGACAAACTTTGCTTGAAATTCTTGCAAATGTATTAAAATAAAAAACAAAAATATATCATGCATTTAAGTATTCAGAGCCATTGCTCGATACTTTGTTGAAGCATCTTTGGCAGGAAATATATCCTGAAGTAATTTTGAGTAAGATGCTGCAAGCTTGGCATACTTGTTATTGGGCAGTTTCTCACATTTTTGTATGCAGAACCTGTCAGACTCCATCAGGCTGGATGGGGAGTGTTGGTCCACAGCCATTTTCTGTTTTCTTCAGAGATATTAAATCAGGCTCAAGTCTGGGCTCTGGCTGGGCCACTAAAGACATTCACAGAGTGGTCCCTAAGCCAATCCTCTGTTATCCTGGCTGTGTGCTTTGGTTCGTTGTCCTGTTGGAATATGAACTCTCCCCAAAGTCCAAAGTACAGTGCTATGGAGCAGGTTATCATCAAGGATGTCTTTCTATATTGCTGATTTTATCTTTGCCTTGATCCTAACTAGTCTCCCACTTTTTTTCCTTTTACAGAAAAATATCCCCACTGCATGGTGCTGACACTGCCGTGCTTTGCTGTAGGAATGGTATTGGCCAGGTGATGAGCAGTACCTGTTTTCTTCCAACCCTGATGCTTGGCATTCAGCCCAGTTTCAGCCCAGTCTTTGTTTCATTAGACCAGATGTGGTCTTTTTTGATAGTTCGATGGTCTAAAGCACCCGAAGGACTCTAGTGAAGGTGAGTCCTTCGGTGAGCCTCCCGGGCTTGTTTGGGTAGCTGTGGTGGTATTCTCTGACCATGGAAGGGTCCAAAATGCAGACGGAGGCATCCAAAATCTCTCTTCTGGACCCCACAAAATCCACAAGATACTGATATTGATATTGAAGGCTCTTTACTACAATTGCTTGTATGTGTATATGCACTCTTTATAATTGTCAGGGATCTGGGTTTGAGGGATCCAGGGTTCTTGAGCAGTGTGGACTCATTATCATTATTATTATTATTATTGTGTGTTTTAGCTGCACTGAGCTGCCGGCTGTGTCCCAAGTTGTAGGAATAGGCAGGTGTGTGTTGGGATGTTTGTTTGTCTGCGGTTGGCACTGTTTCCTGTAGGCTGGGTGCCAGCCCCCTTGGTAGGGGGCTGACCACACCTGAAGACCATGCCATGCACCTGCTGATGATGAGGCTTGTAGGGGGAGCTATTTAAGAGTATGATGGAGCTCTCTCTGGCGTGGGATTATTGCGTGAGACTCCAAGTCAGTCTTCAAGTCAGTGTTGAAGACTAGTTATGTGGTGTCTTGATGGCTGTTTCTATTGTGTCTCAGGAGGAGCGTGGAACGCCAGATAGCAGCAGGCATGGGGAATGCAGAGACACGGGAGTGGAGAGCACAGAACACGGATGTTTTGGGAGAAGACACGACACGGGAGTCAGGGGAGTGCATGGGGATTTATTCTGTGGATTATTTACTGCACTATAAATAAACGCACTGTTCAGCATAAGGAGGCCGGCACTTGGGTCCTCATTCCCCACTTCCCCGACTGTGACAATAATTATTTATTTATTTTCTCCTCCTGTTCTCCCTCTTTTTTAAATACCAGCTTTACCACAGAAGAGAGTTGAATACATCCATTATTTTCTATCCTATTCTGTCCTTGTCTTGTTTTTTTTAAATAATATTAAAATACAAATATTATCAATGATATGATTATTTTTTCTGTGATAATGAATTTTTTAAAAGACTTAACCTAAACTTCACAAAAAGACAACCTCAAATGTTTTACTGAGTTTTTGTTTTACACAGTTCCAGAGCATTGTTTGCAATTATTCACTATGTTTGAGTCCATTCATGGTTTTATGATTTCAACATGTCTGTGAACAGTGTGTCATTTTTCATTGTTTATTCTGCAAATCATTTTTTCTTCTGGTTAATAACATGACATTTTAGAAAGCAAATGTGAAAGTGTCAGTGACTTACTGACATATCTGCACCCAGTGACAACGTTCTCGGAATCACGTAAAGAAACCCACCATCGCACAGTAAATAAACAAAATGGTCATTATTCGTGGTAAATTCAACCAGAGTTCTTGAAATGATGTAAGCTTGAACCTTTTGCAGCCAGACCACATCCTTTCAGCTCAACATAAGTTGTGCATTACAGCTATGATCAAGGTTTCAGTGCATTCAGCATCTGATAAGGAGAGGTAAGCAGAAATGTTCTGCCCGAGAGATTTCAGTCTTTTCATCACATGTGTGATTCTCTTCATCATCCAGTCTGGTGAGCAGTGTTTTCTCTTGAATTTGCTTTTTGCTCCATTATGTAAACATGCACAATGCAAACTCACATTACTGAGGTCTTTCAGTCTTACAAAGCAGTTTGTTGAGATGCAGTGTGCTTCTTTCTTTTGCTCATCTGTTCTTGACTTCAACATCCAGTGACTGGACATTTTTATTTTGTTTTAGGTCATGGTTCTGAGATCATTGGAGGGAAAGAAGTCAAGCCACACTCGCTGCCTTTTATGGCTCTGCTGGAGGGTGATGGAAAAATGTGTGGAGGAATATTAATTGATCCAACATGGGTCCTGACTGCTGCTCACTGTCCGAAGTAGGAAATTAAATCGTACTTTTATTACAATTTTCAAGCTTTAAAATGTTAAAATGCAATTTAATACAATTGTTTTGTGTATATGCCAGTCAACAGTATATTTATTATTCTGATGCTTATGGACTTTATTTACAAAAGATACAATTTTTGCCGCATCTGGCTTTCATTATGGAAACACACACACACATTCAGTATATCTACCTTTTAAATAAACAGTTGATCTCTTACTGAACTATCAGACCTTTTTAAAAAGACACACATGCACATACACATACACATGCAGACACACACTGAGTTACAGAATTATGACAGATTTTCTGATGACATCATATTTACTCTGTTTGGCTTATGTGACCAGTGTGTCTACAGTATTATAGATGAAAGATATAGAAACTGTAGAGCTAATGTGCATACGTTGATGTTTATTTTTATCAACAGCATAGTATTAAACAATCTCATTTTACACATTTTACAAAGATAGATCTTTCACAGAGATGCTGTAAGGAATTTTATTTATAAAGCACTAACAACCAAACAATGATCTATAAATTTTTATTAACCTGTTCTATAAACAAACTATCATCACCACAAAGTGTTGTTGATGTTTTTTTTCTCTTCCAGTATAAGTACGGTGATCCTGGGAGTGCATTCCATCGAGAAAAAGAAAAAGAAAGAGACACGTTTAAGGCAGGTCCGAAAGGTTCAGAAATGTGTTCGTCATCCCAGCTATTCTAA